AAAAAGCAGACAACATCACCTTACCTTACCAGGCAGCCTCCTCCAATCATACACTCTCTAACTGCTGGGGCGAAAGAGCTACAAAGAAGCAACCTCATTGCCACCTACAGTTAGCAATTTGAATTTCCCACCTTTTTCCCCTGCCTTTTTCTGTTCGTAAGTGCAAACTCTGGCTGCAAGTCGAAGCAAAATTTTGTGGCTGGAGCGGGTCGTAACTCGAAATGGTCAGAAGTAGGGACGTTTGTAAGTCGAGACACAATCATACAGCAAAACAAAGCCAGATTACAAAAAACAGTTTAGGTAAGAACATAAGAAGAGCCCTGCTGGATCAGGCCAAGGGCCCATCTAGTCCAGTTCCTGTATCTCACAGTGGCCCCACCAGATGCCTCTGGGAGCACACAAGACAACTAGATATCTGTCTCCTGATACCCCTCCTTTGCATTTGGCATTTTGCGGTACCTTTTTAGACTGGAGATTATACATCCCCATCATGGCTTGTAACCCGCAATGAACTTTTGCTCCAAGAATCTGTCCAATCCCCTTTTAAAGGCATCTAGGCCAGATACCATCACCACATCCTGTGGCAAGGAGTTCCACAGACTTAACAGCATTCTGTGTAAAGAAATATTTTCTTTTATCTGTTCTCATTCTCCCAACACTCAATTAGAATAGATGTCCACAGTAGGCTTAATAGCTGAAGCTATTACTTAAACACTGTGGGACCCAAAATAGCAACAGCCAGAATTTCTGAATTGATAGCAGACAGAATGACAAGCTAAACATCAGAAGGTGCAATGTCCTGTAAGGTTCTGTGTGTGCTTGCTTTAACCCCTAATAGCATACGTGATACCCATCAGCCAGTTCACATAGAACCTTTTGGAACACCTGGAGAAATTGCATGCCTCCCATATAAGGACAACTGAGACTAATTAGCAATTAGGGTCTAGTTGGAGTAATCTTAACTAGTGTTCCAAAAGATAATGCATGTGATTTTCTCATGGGAACAGCATCTCACAAGCTGGTGCCTCAGCAATCTAGGTTTCAAATCCAATATAGAATTGGTTAGGTTTTTGAGGTTGGTTTTTTTTTCACAGATGTGTATGTAGACTTTTTCTTATATACATTTTTGTGTAGAGCCAGTATAATTATGCATATAATTTCAATTAGGGTTGTATGAGTTGCATAACGAACATTATAAGTGGGTGTGTGTTGTTTCCCATCTATGGTTCCTTTAAAATGTGCCAAGGCCCCAATTGAGAATGGATGCTTTAGATATTTATTCTTTTAAACTGAACTAAAATTATTTATATCATCTTCCTTTTTCCAGCAGATAACAACTCCTACTGCACAAACACAACAAAAGGTGGTTGCACTGAAAATCTAACATGTTCAGGTGAGATTTAATTTTAATGCCACTTCAGTCCAAAAGCAACTAACAATTTAGATAATATGAGAATCCCCGGTCTCATATTTACAATCCGAAATAAAAGAAGTAGCACAGAAAATGTGAGGCAAGTGGAGAAAGGAGGGGATACTTATACTTAATTTTAACTTTGTTTAATGAATGAAAAGTAGAGCAAATTAATTGTACTTGCACCCATGGCCTTATTAAAATAGGCAGACTGCTACTGGAGAGGCTTCCTGTCTGTTTATACTCTTAAGGAAACAACAGATTTTCAGTTGCTGTACCTTCTAGTATTTTACAGGTATCTATAAGCAATATATCCAATGGTTACTACTGAACCTTCTATCTATAATGTTTTGTGTCTTAAAAGAGAAGCTAAGGGAACAACCAGAACAAGCACCAGCTGTGAGGGACTTCTGGGCAAGCTACCATTTTTCCTTTCCCTTCTGATCTGAAGACTGTGGCTGCTGTAGTTGCTTCATTCAGAAACTCATCATTACTGATATGTGTAGCAGTGCCCCCATTCATCTGCCAAGCAGGACATGCAGCAATGTTCAAGGAAGCTCTGGATACCATGGCTGTAGCTGCCACTATCATTATTATTCAAAAATGCTTCTGAGCTTTTATCATCATGTTAGGGTCCAGACAGTTTATGAAAACAAAATGTAGCAGCAGATACTGACATTTCTTTTCAGAGCACCAAGCCAAAAGGGAGGAACATTTAAAAGTCAATGACAGTGATTTCTAGAATTCATGGGAAATGACAATAACAACTCCCAGATAAGGGATATCTCAGTAAAACAGATTTTAAAACCATGAATAGAAGAGGCAGGCCCGCTCCATGCTCTGCAAGGGCCATCTTCACTTAGGAATTTTCCTGATACATGTAAACAGTATCAAGGTTAACATAACTCACCTCTTAAGTACTGAAACACTTAGTATGGCTCAAGGCATTGATCCACAATACATCTGTTTTTTATCAGCCCTGTTTGGCTTAAGTCGTATCATTGGCTGTGTATGTGGAAATTACATGTTAGGCTTAGTATCTTGTTGACCTTGGATTTCCATAAGGTATAGTTGTTATTGTTATTCCCCATTTAAGAATTCTTTTGCATCACAGTGTAGCATCTCAAGAGTATCTAGTACAGAACGCTGCTGATACCAGTGTTGAGAGGGAGGGAGAAACTGCTTTCTGCTTCATATTCTCCTTTTCTTTTTAGATATTCCTACTACAAGCATTGCACCTATCATTTCAAACACTACAGCTGCAGGTAATATATGCAGTATAATAAATGTTTAATGGAATACAAAAATTTAGTCTGTAATAAGATATGCGGGTTGACTATGAAAACTTGGAAATGAGGATCTTTGAGAGTTCATGTGTGCTCCCCCCCTCCTGTTCTCCTTCCAGCAAAGTTACTCAGGAGCCATCTTTTTGCTTCAAATAGTCAGCATTTATTAATGAAGGCCCAGCAGGGGCAACAGATATAAAGGATTCCTGGAACCTTTGTCCATCTGAGGGGTCTAGTCTCCCCTTCATCAGTCCAGGGATTTTATCCTGCAGCTTTAGTCCTAGTGTTGACCCCGGTGGCAACAACATCAGCTACAGTGGCATAGATTCCCACCTCCACCACTCTTCATCTACTGGTATTCCCCAAAGTTCTCCCAGGCCCTCTGGTTTGTCTTAGAATGTGTCTCCCACTGTGATGGTCTCTGGCCACCATCCTCCCATTTACCTGATCATAAACCTGAAAGTCAACATATTACTATTACTTGACCTATTCCTTAAAATGATTACAGCCATTTCAGTAAATTGGATAAGTCTTACTGACAAAAAATGTAAAATGAGAACACATTGTAGTGGAAAATCACTTCCAAAGTCCGTGCACAGACTCTTTATATCAGTTTGTTCCTCATACAATTACAGAACTTGCTAGTAGATTTGGGGCATTTTTTAAAAAAATAATAAATCCAGGCACTTTGATAATATTTTCCTCTCCCAAGGTCTTTTTTTAAACCTGTTTGACAGGGCTCTTGTACCACAGTGCGAAGAGCTGTGAGAGCAGGGGCCTTTTGACATCCTACACTTTAAAATGATCATGTTCAACAGCCACATGTGTTTATATGAATTAATTAACCCATTTTCTGACCACTAGGAGCCCCAAAGCAATTTACAATAAAATACATACAAATATTATTTAAAACAGTTCAAAAATAATGTTAGAAATCTGTTTTAAATACCAGTTTAATAGAAGGGCCAGATGAAATAGTGATTTTATCTATCTGCCAAATGCTATTATTTTCTAATATTTATTTGGTCCTTGGAATATTGTATTTTGGTTATTGTAATTATATTTCGTCCCCTGATATAAGATTGGGCAGTCTTCAAATATAATTAATTTTCCTGTTCATGGATACGTATTTTTCATTTAGTGTATTTACTGTCATGTATGCTTAAGTCCAACCTGTATTCTGTAACTACGACCTTTTCCTGATTTTTACATTTTCAAGTTTAATGATGAAATGAAGCAAGTTAAAGCTGTTTTCAATTTAAGTGGTGTTCTCTTTGAAGCAGGTAACATAACTAACACAACAACATCACATCCAGTAAGCACTATGTCGCCCAATACTACCGTACTCACGAGTACTGCAGCTTCTAATACAACCAGTACATCAGGTAATTTTTGCTTTATAACCAAATTGTCTGTTCTTTAAGACAGATTTTTCCAATGTTTCTTGCTATGTAAGTAACAATAAAGAAAAGCAGTTTTTAATTGTGTCGTGTAGTAAATATAGAATATTTGAGTTTAATTTCCAGTTTTAAAATGGGGAAAGAGGTGGGCTTTCCTCTATTCAGACTAGAAATAACATGTTGTAGGAATCTGGGAGATAAGTTTTAATTCCAGCTGCTGTGCCCTCTACATCTGGCAAAGGGTTAATTCTCATAGGTTTTCTATGACTAATGGAACTGCTTCATCTTTTGTAGCACCAGGAGCAGAATTGAAGGGTTATTAGTGAAAGTAAAAAGAAATCTCTGTAATTTAAAATGCCTAGCACTAATCACAATCCTTTTATTTGACAGGCACAGTGTCTCCAAAGCCAACTTCCAAACCATCGCCTCGCACATCAACTTTTGATGCTGCCAGCTTCATTGGTGGTATTGTCCTTGTGCTTGGTCTGCAAGCAGTAATCTTCTTTCTCTATAAATTTTGCAAGTCCAAAGATCAAAACTATCATACTCTCTAGGGTATGTTACTTTTAATGGACTTAAAATAGTTCAATATTCGTTGTTAGCTGCACCAAAAGATCTTTATTCCTTATAGAAAACAGTAAATCAAAATATTATTTTTCCGACTTTTTAAAAGGAATATATTCCTGCAACATGCTTGGAAGAAGGTTGTGTGAAACAATGTCTTATGCTACAAGAACACTTGCAATATTCTGCATGAATCCTTATTGGCTGTCTTAAATTTTTTAGTAGCTGCTGCTGTGGAACAGTTTTCTGTACATTACAGATGTAGACATTAAATAGTTATTGTATTCAGTGGCAGCAGAATTATTAGTAGGTAATATTACAACTGCAATGAATAAATTAGTCTTGTATGCAGTGTCCCCTATATAATTATTAAAATGTGAATTGCCGGTGACTTGGCATAACACTGTTTGTGAGAATTATGGCTTTTTATTATGTTCTGCTAAAAGATTGGGGCAAATTTGTAGAATGTTATCTTTTTTCTGTAGGAATTAAGGAAGCCCGTATTTTTATATACTAGTTGTCAGATGGATAATTGTTTTCTAATTTATGTGTAAGCAGCCATAGGAGGAATAATGATCATTCTTGATTCATAAGCAGTAAAGATCAGTGCCTTAATCAGTAGGCTGCAAATTGCAATGTTTGTGCCATGTTATTTGTTTGAGGTGCAGTAAATGTCATTCTATTTGTGTCAGATTTTCTCCAGTACACGTTTAATTGATTCTAGTGAAGAAATAAAAGAATAGCAAATCTTCATGTAGTGTTTCTAAAGCCATGTATTTGTAGCCTTCAAATTACTTGCCTTAGAACAATGGTTCCCAACCTTGCTGCCCCAGACATTCCTGGACTACAACTTCCAGAAATCCTGACCAGCACAGATAGTGGTGAAGGCCTCTGGGAGTTTTAATCTTAGAACATCTGGAGACCCAAGATTGGGAATCACTGCCTTAGAGGGTACAGTAATAAGCTTTACATTGGAGGGCATGCATTTGAGTAGCTTATAGCAATTTGAAAACCATTTAATTCACATAAATCTGTGAGTAACATTCTGTTCCTAATGTCCTTTCATCTGCTTTGTAAAACATTGTAGTCACAATAGAAGTGATCAGATTGTGTACCAGGAGCTACTTTGTCAAAATAGGATTGCCAGTGTTTGTTTCACAGATTGTATGGTTTGAATGTAAGAATTCAGCTTTTAAGTTTAAATGCTGCTTCTGGATGAACTTCAGGGAATCTCTTGGAAGAAATGCAGCAGTTCACATTAAGCTGATGGAAGCAAGTCTGGGGTTATGACTTGTGAAAAGTGCATTTTAATCAGTCAGCTTGTCTAGCCCTTCTAAGCTTGAGCATTATTCACTTCAATAAGGTTTCATAGGAAGTTTGTAGCATAAGGAAATAGTACTGTAACTTTAAAGGACTTTAAGGCATTTGCACTCCTAGAAGACAATCAGCTCAGATGAGTTAAAAAGTACATTGAGCACCACCCTGTTCTCAGCAAATAACATGGCTTAAGTGGGTGGTGTAACAGCCTTAATATAGTGATTTAATCAAATTCTCCACCTCTTGTAGCTTCATAAATTTAACCCAAGTATTTGAGTATATTCTAAAGTTAAGTAAAAAATAATGTACTTCTAAACAGTGTCAGTTGTTTTAAAATGCACTCTTTATTAAATCCTTGAAAAGCTTGTGCTTACTGGTACTGAAAAGCTGTTTAGTATTGCTTTGTTGCAGTTTACTGAATAGCTTTTAAAATGTAGTCTTATAAATTTATGCAGAGGTTTTCAAAACTAACCATGCTACATAAATTCAAAAGTAGAATTTGAGCCAATTTTGTTACTGAGCCAAGAATTGCTGTTCAAAATGCACTAAACCATATTTTCTGTGCTGATGATAATTATGAATCCTCTTTCAAGTGCCTTAAATTTTCTCACATCTGTTGAAGAAATGTAGGGAAGGGAACATTTGATCTAAATTTGCCCATTATTGCCAGCGATTGCTATTTTCCAAGGAATTTAGGAAATTCAGGTATGACTGCTATTTTTAGGAAATCTGCAGATTCTATTAGTTAGCATATTACTGTACTTCATTTAGGGCACTTACATGTAGTTGTATAAAATTCCATTTTCTATACCAAGCTTTATCAGCAACTTTCCAAACTCTGGCTAAGACTGTGAAAGTATTTCCTGTTATCCATTTGTTTCATTGCTTATCTTGCTGTTCTACAAAGGTTTGAGTTGAATTTTGCATTACCATTAATCTGGCTACTTACAAATTAGCTAAAATAATAATGTCCATCACTTCTTTCTGCAAATTGAAGTTTAATATAAGTTTTTTAAAAAAAAAAAGTTGCCTGTATGGAATTCTAATTTTAAGGCATTGGATTGTGACCTTTCACTCTCTTTATCTCTATTGCTCCTAAAAGTCCCATGTGCAAGCATCTTGCATCTGGAATGGAATATTATTGATATTACTGTATAATATATGTGTTATCTTACTTGGAGGAAATGCAAAGTATAATCACAATGTCAAAATAATAAATAACTTATAAAAATGTTTCTGTCTTATCTGTCAGAAATAAATCTTTAAATCTGGGTCACATCATAAAACAATGAAAGTTTTGTGTTAGCAAAATAGCTTGTGAAGGGGAAAGATTCTGTAGAAGGTCCAGTAGATTTGTTTTTATTTAAATGCAGATGACAGACTTATTTTTTAAAGCAAAGTACAAAATGTGTATGTCCACTGTTGGAAGGGAACCTGCAACCTTAGGAGTGGTTGAAGCCTTTCAGCTAATTGCAGAAATACTCTGCAAGTGTTAAGACCAGGTCCCAGTCTGTGAGACAGGGAGGAGGAAAGGGAAAAATACAGTGGTGCCTCACTTAACAAGCACCCCGCTGAGCGATTAAATCGCTTAATGAGGGGCTCTGGAGCATTCGCTCAGCGATGGCCCCTATGGTGTTTTTTCGCTTAGCGAATATCGCATAACGAAGCGGGGGAGAACAGCTGATCGGCGGTTCCAAAATGGCCGGCGGAAGGTCCGCGCTGCATTTTCGCCCCCTGCCCTCGCTTACCGAGGGCGCGAAAATGGCGGCGCTATGGAGGAAGATCGCTTAACGGTGAGTTTTAAAGCCATAGGAACGCATTGAACAAAGTTCAATGCGTTTCTATGGCTTTTTTATTTCCATTTAGCGATATTTCGCTATAGCGAAACAGTGGTGCTATGCGAGGCACCACTGTATCTCAAAAGTGGGGAAGCAGAGTAAGGAAATTGGTAGACTCACCTGTGTTTGCCCTTGCCCACTGCTGGCTTCAGCCCCTCTTACCACTAGTATGTGGCTTTTGATAGAAAGGTTGCTCAATCCAATGTATGTCAATGTAAAAGCACTCACAGACTTCCACAGCTGACAGAAATCTTTTTATCTGATTTGGCACTATAAAAGTACAGCAGAAACACTAGTAGAAAGTGATTCATTAGCAGTAGTACAAACCTAATACACAACATTACACTCTTATACATATTCATTTAGAAGTAAATCCTAGTCAAGTAATTGAGACTACTAGACCCAAGAGTACAGGTTTACACCTTAAATAATCCCATTTTCATTACTGACTGGCAATAAATTATCGAGTACAATTAAAATCATGCAGTCAAACTGGTAACTAAAATGGTGTGACCTTTTCAAAAGCAAGAAGCAGGTTATTTTTGAGATGCCTTCTGTCCACAGAGTAGGGTACCATCTCTTATGAGGTCTGGCAGGAGAACATCTATTACTCTTTTTCTCCCTCCAGAGGGTACCTAGAAAGAGGAATAAAATTGATTGGCAACTCTCATATATTGCACCTTAAATAGCTAAACTTGCAATCAGTTTTTCAGGAATATTTGGCTTCACTGGGACCTATAGGCTAAAAGTAGAGCTCTCCTAAAATTATTATGCTCCATTCTCTGAGAAGCCAGGCAAAGCCACTACAACCAAATGTCTTTAAGTTGTGTTATTGAAAGAGTCATCCAGCCACAAAAAGACTTTAGAACAGCTTGTTTAGCAACATATATATAATATACAGTAACTTTTACTTTGAAGATTCATAATAACATCTACAGTAAATTCTTCATTACTCACTGTCTTGGGTCTTGAAATTTTTTCTGACTTTATACTGCTGTTTCTCAAAGGGTTTGCAGTCAAAACATGCTTCCTGAAGTCTCTAGTGGCTACTGATATCCCTGTTTTCTGGCTTGCTGAAGGAATACCTGGAACATAAGGAATTAAAATGTACAAACTATATCCACACATTGCAACTCAGAATAATTTTTCCATTTTTGGCCTTCTGTTCTATTTAAAAAAGAATGTACATTTAGAAAAGAATGTATCACACCCCCCCCGTGAGAATCAATAGCACCTCCCTAGCTATTAAGTGATTATATCTCTGTTAAAGAGTCATTTAACCAATACAGGTGTTATAGTGTGATACCTTCTGAGTTTGGTATGAAAAAATGAACAACGTGTACCTACAACTGCTGAGAGTTGTAATTACTAGATGTGTTAGCGAAGACATTATTTGTTGTAATAACGTCTGTGCCTGTAAGGAGTCAGAAAAAAGATCGCTGGGGATGCAGCTGTAAAATAGTTGTATGTATTGTTCACAGATCTTGCCAACAAATTATATCTTGCACAACAATGCCCCTGTAGGGAGCTTACCATGTAAATAGCTGGACCCATAAAAGAGCTTCTTAATATTTCTGTAGTGCTTCCATTTACAATTAAAGCTGACACAATTAGGGGTAGGAACAAGTCCTAGGTCACTTGGTAAAGCCAAGCGTGCCAAACTATCTTCTGGAATATCTTTGTGCATTCTTACATGCAGCTGACATTGCATTCTGTTTTGATACATACTTTTGATTATACTGCTTTTTAAGGGGAGATATCTGCTTCCCCAGACTAGTCTCAACTAGTGTTTATGGACAGTTGAACTGTAAATGAACTTCAGTTTAACTGGAACAGGTTATCTCATGATAGGATCGCACCTTATTTAACAAGAGGCATGGATTGGACTGACAGCTTTAAAACAGATACTGTTTGTAAATTATTTTAAAGTTCTTGGGACTCCTAAGTTAGTGGTTCAATTTGACCTTAAAAATGATTGGCTTAACAAAATTTGAAGTTAGATGAATTGAGTCTGATGTCGAAGAATTAATGTTGATGCTGGAATCATAATTGTTACCTGAAAAAGAGTTATGTGTGCTGCTAGCACTGTGTGAAAGATGGGAAAATCTTTTTCTTCCTGCTGTGAAAACAATAACGTACATTAGATGATTTAACGAGAATCATCGTAGGAATCCAAACCACCCAGCAATATTTGGTCAGCTTTACTTGTTAGTGACCTTGTGCGTGACACAAAACACATACCTAGCTTTAAAAACATTCTAATTCTAATGTTATTAAAAGTAACCAGGACACGTACATGCCTTCTATTTGGATTACAATAGCAAACGGCACCCCTGCTTGACATACTAGATTATAAGCTTTAAATAGATCACATCACTTATTTTGGTGAATTTTATTCTGCATGATGCCGAGACATATGCTTTCTTTCCACTTTGCTTAACAATAATCAAGTTTGTAAAAGTTTCCACATTAGCCCAGTTAAAAATAGCACCTTTTGAAATTAAAGCTGAAGATGAGAGTTTTAAAAAAAGTAATTTCGGTTACAGTCATGGCCAAAAATATTGGCACCCTTGCAATTCTGTCAGAAAATGCAACCCTTCTCTCAGAAAATTGTTGCAGTTGCAAATGTTTTGGTACTCACATGTTCATTTCTTTGGTTTGCATTGTGGTGGTTGTTTAGTCGTGTCTTTGTGACCCTATGAACCAGAGCACGCCAGGCCCTCCTGTCTGGCCATGACTATATGACTTAACTTTATTTCTGGCCAATTGGTCTGAATGTGGTTCATATGCATTAGTTATAAAAATAAGCTATTTGCCCCTGTCATTCATAGGAAAATAATTTTAACTCATTTCCGCAGTGCTTATGATATATTGCAGGATGGAATATAAATCAAATTAAGTCATTAGTAAGGCTTAAATTATAGATTTCTGCATAAAAGGCTCATTCTTGCTGGTTGGTACGATTTTAATCATTACAAACCAGATGCACATTTCATTTTTAGAATAATAATTTTTAGGTTAGTTTTACCAGAAAAGGTGTATCAGAAAATTAATTGTTGTTTAGTTTCCCTCATTGCATTTTCACTGTCAAACCTACAGTTCAATGCATTCCAATGGGGGGAAAATTCACCAAAAATTAACGAAGACTCAGAACAAAGCCAAATTAAGTTTGCACAGGTTTTGCAAGGTGCACTAACGATCCCAAGCATTTAAAACCGTTTTTGAACATTGTAAGACACTTTAAAAATAGCGAAAACGGACATCGCAAAACCATTGGAATGCACTGAATAGGCTTCAATGCATTCCAACAGGGGAAACATTGTATTGCTTAGCGATGTTTCCTATGGGGATTTTCGCTTAACCGGTTTTCAGTGCATTCCTATGGGAAATGGTGCTTCACTTAGTGATGTTTTCCCATAGCGATGTTTTCTGGGAACCAATTAACATCGTTAAGCGAGGCACCACTGTACTTCAAAAGTTTCTCTTTCATTTGTACTGCTTGCTTCTCCTTCCTCACACTTAACATCTCCTTATCCATATGTATTCCACCTCAGAAAGCCTTCTGTTCACTGATCTTCCTGACATCCACATTAGAGGTAAGAGGTTAAGTCTGTGCACATAGATTTACAGAGGGGCTACAGGACTGATGTCTCTTTCTCAACTGTGCATTTATTTTAAAATATTTTAATGTTAAGAAAAGGCATATTATTACTGTGGACACAAAACCGTTTTGAGAACTCGAAAACCAAACATCTACGATGGCATCATCTAGATAGAAGAGTTACCTCAAATGATCTTACAGAAACCTCTGAGAGAAGATTACATAGGAAATGACATTAATGAATGTTTTCAAACATTGTATGAATCTACAGTCACACTCTGCGTAATTCAAAAACCTCATTTCTTGGTGAAAACCCTTTGGGCTATAATGCACCTTAAATAGAAAACTATCTTTTAAATACACTTTTCTTCAAAAGGCATTTTATGAAACAAAATCTGATTTAAATTTTTAAAAATCCAATTCTAAATTTTAATGGATTTTTATTCACCCTGACCTAGAGTAAAAATCCCCAGGATCTGCAGAGAAAACAGTGCATACATTTTAGTATAGTACAGTGGTGCCTCGCTTTACGATTGCCCCGCTTTACAACAAATCAGCTTTACGATGATCTTTTTGCGATTGCAATTGCGATCGCAAAACGATGGTCTAAATGGGGGAATTTCGCTTTGCGATGATCGGTTCCCTGCTTCGGGAACCGATTCTTCGCAAAATGATATTTTTCTAACAGCTGATTGGCGGTTTCAAAATGGCCACCGGGTAATTAAAATGGCTCCCCGCTGTGTTTGGGGATGGATTCCTCGCTATACAGGCAGCGAAAATGGCCGCCGTATGGAGGAGCTTCGCTGGACGGTGAGTTTTTACCCCATTGGAACGCATTGATTGGGTTTCAATGGGTTTTTTTATTTCGCTTTACAATGTTTTTGCTTAACGGCGATTTTCGTGGATTATCGTTAAGCGAGGCACCACTGTAGTTTGAAAAATGTTGCTATGTAGCAAGTTTTAGGGTTGTTTCATGGGGGAAGGGGAGTGTCAAATCTGAACAAATTCCAGATGCGGTTGGTAGATTTTTAAAGTAGCATAATTATAAATTGAATGCACTTGAAAATCTGGCTCAGCTGTTAAATGCAATACAGTGTAACATGACCCCAGAGGCAGGTAAGTGAACAGTTTATGGGTGGAACAATGAATTTATTTTTCACATCAGTTTCAGTTTCTTATACTGATATACTAAATTTGTTTATTGCAATCCAGGAATAGTAAATTAAGTAGAACAATGAATTTCAGCAGGTGGATATGCTGTAGCAACAGGTGCTGCTTGATTGCTGCAGCCGTTAGATTTTCGTGGATTATCGGCAGGTATTCATCACTGTTTGCAGGTATTCAGACTTGGATTGTGTCCTTAAGCTGATTAGTGTCATGATTAGAGCCCATTATTAGATCACATTAGCTGTTAGGTGAGACTGTTAGATCTCATCAGCTGTTAGTGAACTAAGATCTCTGGCCTCATTGAATTACCCTGTTTTCCCGAAAATAAGACAGGGTCTTATATAAATTTTTGCTCCAAAAAAAAAGCATTAGGACTTATTTTCAGGGGATGTTTTATTTTACAGTCATGTCATCTTCTTTTGGTTGCTGCACAATGCTGCACAATGGTGGAGGGCGGGGTTTCACTTAACTAGGGCTTATTTTTCAGGTAGGGCTTATATTACGAGCATACCAGGGTTTATTTTCAGGTTAGGTCTTATTTTCGGGGAAACGGGGTATCCAAATCTGTTAAAGAGAAAGAAAGCCAAATGCCATAACTTCCTTGACCCTTTCCAGTTTGCTGCAATAAACATAACTTAAGACAGCAACTGGGCGCTCGTACTTGACTGGAAGTCCCAAGATGGCACAAGTGCAATGGCACCCATAGGCATTACCCCGGTAGCTGCTTAGGGCTCTTGCCCAATCAAGAGCTTTCTTTCTCCAAATACTGTATAGGGACTCACAGGCAATGCTTGAAAAAAAGTGGACAAGGTGGCTACAAGACAAAGCCTTGCTTTCAAACCATGTGCTGAACTTTAAACAAAAATAGCCAAAAGAAAACACAGCTGACTGGCAAGCTCTTCAGGTTAGGGAGGAGGGTAGAGTCTGTGAGGTGAGACTGTAGAAGAAATTAGAGGAAATGGGAAAGTCTTCCATGTGAGTGGATTTGGATGTTCTCTCCACGTGAACTGCCTTTGATCCTTAATTATGAAGCCACCTATTTGACCCACACAGACCAACAAAATGTCTGTTTTCTCACTTGTCTCACTATTTCTTTCATTTCAAGTGTCAACTGTGAACTAGGTGGCTGAGACCTTCCTGCCTTTTTGTCCTAATTACTTTACAAAGAAAACCCATATAAGGAAGTTCAGACTTGTAGGTAATTTGATGCATGAGTCATCAAGGTTGTAAAACAGTAACCATCCGTGGATTGCCTTCATACCTACTGCAGTGCATGCATGCCCTTGTTCCCAAGACTGCAACCTCCTATGTCTGTTTTCAACTTTCTTTTTATGTCCAACATCCATGCAGTAGCATCTCACATATAATGGCAACCAGCAATTATTCAAATAACATTCATACCTGCAGGGAAACTTCTCTGTGAAGCTGCAGCTTCTAAGTCATAAAGCTGATACTGTAATTCATCGACCCGCTGGAATGCATTCTGTTTTAAACTGCGCTCCTGTGCCAATTGGCTTCTTACCTAGAAAAGGATTTCTTAACTAGCAACACAGGTCCAAACCTGATAAGTTAGGATTTGCTTTATAAAAGTCAAGATGTATGATAGTGAGGATCTCTCATGTCTAGAGTAGACCACTGATGCAGTGGGCAATTTCACACCCTGGATTTATTCATTCATTCAAGTTTTATACTGCCCATCTGGCTACCAATACTACTCTGGGTGGTTCATAGTGCAATAAAACAATACAAAGCCAAAATTAAATACAACAATCCACACACAAAGACATCAAAATAAATAAAACTAATTTTAAAAAGCAAGATGACAGGGCAGATATAAGCGCTGAAAAGCCTCTGTGCTATGATGGTGTGATCTCTGGAAAAGCCTGTCTAAAGAGCCATATTTTCAGCGATGGTTTAAAAATTCCCACTGAAGGAGCCAGTCGAATTTCATGCAGGAGATTCTTCCAGAGACGGGGTGATCACTGAGAAGAGCCAGTTTTGATATGATGGTATTTCTTCACTCCACTCACTAATCTGGCCGCTATATTCTGGACATGTTGAAGTTTCTATAGCAGCCTCATGGTCAGCCCTATCTAAAGAGCATTACAGTAGTCTAATCTCAAGACTACCAGTGCATGGACCAGCATGGTAAGGGACCTGGTGTCAAGGTAGGGACACAACCGAACAATCTGCCTCAGGTAGAAAAAAGTGGAACGGACCATAGATGCTATCTGGGACTCCACTGATAGTGTTGGATCCAGAAGTACACCCAGACAGTCAACCTCATCCTTAGTGGAGAAAGTAGCCCCCCCAAAAAAAACAAATGAAAGGGAAGCTCCTAAACAACAGACACTGGGGGCACCCACCTGCAGGATCTCCATCTTATCCAGGTACATAACATCCAGGCAGCACTCAAGGGACAGGACATCATCCACTGCAGAAGGGTGGATTTAATTATAGGTAGATGAAGCTGGCCCATTTGGACTTTAGTTATAAAGCAATCACAGTTAACATTACTCTCCTCTGCCTTGTTTTGTGCTTTACAGTGGCTCCTACATTCATGACATCTAAGGAAAGAGGTGGCCAGGGTCTTGGGGTTAGCCTTCCAAAGTTGCCCATGTTTATCTTAGACCAAAAAAAAAAAAAGGTGTGTGTGTTCCAATCTTGATTTTCAGAAAGGCAATACTCCTAGTGTGTGCAATTTTTCTAATCTTAAACTGACTTAAAACACTGTGATGACTCCAGGAATAAAACTGGTGAGTTTGCTTCAGCTGCCATGATGCTAAAAACATCTACTTGGCTCTAAATATCACCTAGCTGGTATATTTTTAAAGTAAAAGAATAATAATGACATGAATGTCTGTAACACAGATTTCTCGCAGGCTTTTAAAAAGTAGTAGCAAGAATGCTCTGAAGAGCATGCTCTTCCTGACCCAGCTGTTGATTTGGAGCCCTGGACTTCATTCCCAGCATCTAGTCCTGCCTGCACCACCGGGTACAACTGTCTCAGGTCAATTCAAAATTGCATTTTTTTCCTGCTATTATCTTGTTTTCCTCCTAAAATAGGATTTTCTTAGAAAGACACACCTCAGTAATCCAACTTGTAAATTAAAACAAATGCAAGATATGTAGGTGAGGAAAACCACATGCTATGCCAACAGACATCTTTTGCCTTGTGAGGAAGCACCTCTTCTAATAACATGCTAAGCACGTTATTTGATTTAACCCTCAGAGGCTGCTCAGCAATCTTAATGAATTTTAATGAATCTTAATGAATTTTATAATCTTAAAAAAATTCTTAGTACAATCAGTACTTGTCCTGGGTACTCATTACCAGTCAGTTGCTTAACTCAATTATAGATTCTGTGAATACAGTATTTCCTTTTTTTTAAATCAAGATTGGAAAACTTTTTTTGTATGACTTATGTTTGTATGTTCATTGGGACCTTAAGTACTGAAGATACTCACTTGCTGGATTTCTTTCTGAACTCTTTTTTCGTGAAGCTGCCTTATCTTAGAGGATTTCTCAGCTGCTTCTGTCATGTGCTGCAGGCTCAGTTCTCTCCCTCCAAGGTTTTCCAGCATCTTTTCCAGGTTTGTTGTCTTAATCAGATCTAGCTGCTGCCTTTGTCGAATTTCTTGATTCATTTTATGCTCTGCCTCCTGTAATAGATGCCCCTGTGGGTGAGAACAGATACGCTATGTGGTAATACACTGTCTCAAAGAGTGAGTGCGCAGGGCTCCTGCTACCTCTCATTTGGGCAGGAATGAGGGCCCCATTTTGTCTTCATAAGCAGCAGCACTGACTGCAAAACTTAGCAAACAGAGGGAATGATACAGGTATGCTGCGCACAAGAAAGCTGTACAGCAATACATTGTGTCCTGGAAGAATGTAGTCACCGTTTTTGACAGTTGAGAAAGGCAAACTAACCACTTTTGAATTAAAAGAAAAACCTATTTGTTATATAGAACGCTGTGCAGGAGAATTCAGACACATACCTGTTTGTCTAGCTGTTGCTTCAACCTTTTATTCTCTGCCTGAGTCTGTGCCAAGGCTTTCCTCGCAGCCCGCAGCTGCTGACGAAATAAAATTGCTTCTTGTTCAGATATCATATTGGATTTCAGGCATTCTTTTTTATTTTGAATGGCCTCCTGTGAATGCAGAGGATTTCGAAGCCTGTGAGATAAGACACTCAAACCACGGACATTTTTGCAAACATTTTCCTGGCTACTTAAGAACTGATATCCTGCAAAATCTTTTTATCTTTTTACTGTATTTAAATCGTTGCAAGCTGCCCAGAGACCTTTGGGTAGTGTGGGTGGCATATTAAATAAATAACTAAATAAATAAAAAAAAATGTCTACTGGTGAATTTTTTATTTATTTGTTTATTTTAATTTTTATAAATTTTGTTTTCTTTATCATGAAAAAAGGGGGCTCCATTTTGGGGGTGGTTTATTTCTTTTTAAATGTTTCTGCATTGTTGAGAAATTTGAAAAACTTTTATTTTTTACATTGAATTATGAGCTACGTACAGTGGTGCCTCGCTTAGCGATCGCTCCGTTGAGCGACGAAATCGCTTAGCGATGGACTTTTTGCCATCGCAAAAGCGATCGCTTTGCGATGGTCCCTATGGGGAAATTTCGCTTTGCAATGATCGCGGGGAAGCGATCATTGCAAAGCCCTCATTTTTGGCCAGCTGATCGGTGGTTTCAAAATGGCCGCCGGGAAAACAAAATGGCCACCCGCTGTTTTTCCTCGCTTAAGAGGCAGCGAAAATGGCGGCGCTATGGAGGATTTTCGCTTTAAGGTGAGTTATTAAGCCCATAGGAACGCATTAATCATGTTTTAATGCATTTTTATGGGCTTTTTAATATCACTTAGCGATGAAATCACTTAGCAACTTTTTTTTTGAATGGATTACCCTCGCTAAGTGAGGCACCACTGTATACTGTAGTGTACCATACTAGCATGAACAGGATTTCCCCCATGTTCTCTGGATGCAAGATGTCTTTATGGTGCAGAGAGTGAATGGGTCACTTCAGAACTCTGGCACATTATTCTGTTCCATGTGGCTACAATTAGCCATGCCATCTGATACACAGTTTATTTTTTGAAGCTTCTAGGTATGTAGTAGGATCAATCAGGATCTCTATGTAGTAAAATGTCTCTTTTTCCATCAAAGGAGAAAAATAAAGGAACTCTGGTTTTAATTATCTCATAGGATATCTGTCAAAGTAAAATTGGTAGATGGCGAGAAAGATAAATGTTTAAGTTTTTTCTACTCTTTCTCTTAAAAGCAAATACTGTATGTAGAGTCAAGCCAGCAATCTTCTATACACAGTAGCTGATATACACCCCACTGTGCATACATGGTCATTGTTTGACCTGATCCATGTGTATTTGCTTCCTTAACTTAAATGGGAATCCTGAAAGTGTTCTTTAAAATGTTGGTTTAAAATCAAGTTATCTGAAAACAAAGGTGTTCCTATGTAGACTGGGTCATGGGAGATGTTCTAGCATGGCATGGATGCAGTCCCGATGGCTTGCCGTCTGAAATACATAGGTTAGAACATGGAAGTAACTTAACCCAAATAATAAGTTACTTGCAAAGAATTCCCTTTCACAATAATAAAGCTCTAACTACATCATGCTTGTAACTTAGTAAGGGAAAACTTCAATCCTTTTGCAATGCAAAGGTTTAAGCTACTTTTATATTGTGGGGCTCTGGCCTCACTAAATGGCAAAGTAGGGATGTCACTTCGTCACGTGCTAGCTCATGCCACTGAATCAAAAACATCCATATTTAAATAGTAAGTATATTACATTAACTTGAAAAAAATGGCAAAGAATATTTTTTTTGACAATGGTGGCAGCTAATTACTTATTGGAACCTTGGTAATAGAAGACTATATAATTACTTTCAAAAGTAATTAGTCAAGCTCTGGTTATGAATATGGATGAGATATTGTATGAAGTTCAAATTTTCCATCAGTTATGACTTAAGTACGCCGTTTATAAAGATTCACAGTATACTCATTCCCTGGTTTTGCCCGGTTATCTGCGTGTAAGCACTTGTAGCCATTGGCCTTCGTTATGTAAAAGAAAGAGACTATTTTCACGATTCAGGAGGACTTTATTTGAACACATTGATTGACTCAGAAGCCAAGGGATTTTGTTGGGAATCTCACCTTCTCGGCCTCTCTCACTGTAGCCAGTAGTCGTGCTCTTTCTGCCATCTCTTTCCAGCAGCTCATGGTTTTCAGTTTGCATACCAGCTGGCCCAACTGGCTGTTTTCATTCCGTAACTCCTGCAACTGTTCCTGCTGATAATGACAGCAGATATTTCCAAGTTCTAACAAACGCATCATCTTTCTGGCGGCTTTCTAAAACTACAGTACATAGTTTCTATGAGTAAGCACCAGTGAGCAAAAAGACATGGCACTTAGCAGACCCTGTAAATTTCTCATCAAGAGAAAGGCAGCCTGTAAATGTCACTAAATAAATAGATAAACAAACAAACAAAATTGTACTCTAGTCATATTGTACTCCTTGACTAGTATTAACATGCTTATTCTGTGGCTGTTCAAAGTTATGCATACCAGCGACCTTGAGTTATCACCATAGGGAGCTTGGTTTGAAAACATTACTTTTGCATTAAATCTGTGCCCACAATGATGCACAGCATGCATTTGCTTTGCGAAGAGATTTATTTCTCCGGTTATGCATTAAGTTGACATATGAGCTCATTTTGTCAATGTGTGCTATATTTATGCTTTACAACATTTGCTTTCTGATAAAAGTCAATAACTCATGAGTTAGTATTTAGAAGATCCTAAGGATTGTACAGTTTCATGTAAGCACAGATGGTAGCATCAAGAATGTCTTTTTTCAAGGATTTTTCTTTATGGCACTGGATCTTTAGAGTTATACTCCTTTTCTCCAGAGGGGAGGGAAATAATTGTGAAAAAAATTATCACTAGGCACTAACTTACCTGTTCTAAATGTTCCTTGAGAGCACTGTTATCTTTTGTGGAGCCAAACTTTTTCTTCAAGTTAATCATTTTGTCTACTCCTTCCTTCCTCACCTCACTAATGATCTCTAATATTCGCTGGCTCATACTTAGGCGATGTTCATCCACTGTCCCCTGAAACCGAAAGCCAAAATCTGAAAGCGTTGTTTACAGTGTAGACACTCAAAAGAAGGCATGAGGTTCTCTCTGGAGTTTTACAGATTTAAAATGAATAATAATATCCCCTCATTTAACTTAAATTGCATAATTATGCTATCACTGTTTTGTGAACTAGCTTAGATATTTCACCTGATGCTTTCTTCATAAATAGAGATCTAAATGAAAAAGGGAAATATAATTGGGATCTTTCAGAAGATGGTTGTTTCTCAAGAACTTGGGGGGTGTACATTTTTTGAAAATGAAAGGAGAATTTCCGATTATGTTATCATTGGTGCATTATTCTAAGACACTGTCCACAGAACTTGGGAAATTTACTTTTTGAATGATAAGCTCCCAGCATTCTCTAGCCAGTATGAGTAGTGGCTGTGCTATCCAAGAGACTCTGTAAACTGTTGTCCAATAAGGTAACTTTTTCAAGCACTGCCCACATTGTGCAACCTGTCTCAGATAAAACCTCTTCTCAAAAAAAGTAGCAGAGAAATCTAGCCAATACTTATCCAATTGTCACTTCTCATCTACCGCTGTGTATAAAAAAGCAGCTGAGTGATATTCTGTACATTTTGCAAGCAGATGCATTTTTTTGCACATACTTTGAGTTGCAGGCACACCATGAATATATTTTGCACTAATGCTTCATACTCTTCCTGCGTTTCTTTTCTTATCTTCTCTTTGAGGCTGCAACCTTCTTCTTGCAGATCAGCAAGCCTAGCTCGCAAAGCCGTTACCTCCATGATTGTCTCGTGACACAGTTCTGCTACCTAACAAAAAGAGAGAAAATGCAATCAAGACTGTTTTCCATGTAAATGCATAGTTGTGTGTCTCAGAAAGTAATCATTGGATCCATTAAGATGCCAAGAGACATAGTAGGGATGCCTGAATAAAACCAGTAAAGTTTTTGCCACTGACCTGGCTGAGACCTAATTCTGAATTTTCTCCCTTATCTTCTATCGCATGTATTTCCTGAAATTGAATCAAACAGTGCTTTTTAATTCCCATCTTAAAAATCTCTACCAGGTAGTGGTATTGTGTGGTGAAGCGACATACAAATAACTTTCAGGGCAAAGATATTCAAGGAAATGACACTACTCCTTTTCCACCATAAAATTCAATGGCATGGGAAATACCTGTTCTTTCTGATAGAGGAGCTGATGCTGTTGGCGGAGGATGTTTTCATAAAACATGGAATAGGTTTCAAAGTTACTGTGCTCTCTGGCCATGATATCACATCCTAGAGCAATCAGGCATTTTTCAAAGTGGTCTTTCTGAAAGGCAATCTGAGATGGAAAATAACCCCATTAATGAAAGGTTTGTGGGGGAGGAGGGTTCCTCTCTTGTGGACAACACAGATAAATGGATTTGTTTCTGGTGCATCCTCCACAGCACACTGATGTTAGTGATATATACTCTTAAATATTTCAAAGCCCAGGTCCTTCCTAGCCATAACAGTTAATTTCAGGTATCAAATATACAAAAAGCTAAAGCTCAAAGAATAATCCCCAAGGATTTCAGGTAGTCAGGATTTACAATATCTGTACCTCTGTATCAGTTTCTCGGTGATTTTCCATTAACCTTTGTATAAATGACTCAGCTACTTCTGGTCTTGTGACAGAGAAGCTTGCTTGCATGCTATGATGCTTCCAGAGCTCTTAAAAAACAAGGAGAAGACATTCATAAACAGTGTTTGAAGTAATAGCACAAGGAGACTGCAGTACTAAGGCCAGGCCAAACCTATAAGACCTAGTTGGCCACTATGGCACACCTGAGGTTGAAAAAGAAAGCTAGGTCTCATTGAGAGGAGGGGATTTTCATTGGGACTACAATGCACAGGAAGGAGGAATTTAACGAAACAGTAATCCCAGCACAAATCATTGCCCCCACCCCACTCCCGGTATCCAGAGTGGTAGACTCCATTAGCATTAACTATCACATAGGAGTCATTTTCATCAGAATAGTGGCTGAGATCATCACACATCTCTTTCCCTTGCCATCCCAGGGAAAATCCTCTTCCCGCTGCATCAAATATTAAATTTAAACAAAACACAATTGTAGTTGCTACCACATACTAAAAATAATATCTGTCTTGGCCCTGTACCATCCAAGACCAGACCAGATGGGCGGGATATAAATCAAATCAAATCAAATCAAATCAAATCAAATCAATCAATCAATCAATCAATCAATCAATCAATCAACAATCAATCAATCAATCAATCAATAAGATGGTAGGTGGTGTATGGATTATTATCATGTGTTTAATGGTCTATGCGGTGCAAGATGTTAATATATGGCACTATACATGACAAGATTCTCTATACCATTGCAAACCTTGAAAATAAAAAACGTAGTGACAGCTATAGGTAATTGCCAAGAAACTGCCATTTAGTTCCAGCAAACGCATCTATTCCAACATAATTTGCTGTGCAGACAATTATTGGACTAATATTGCAGAGCCCCGCTGGATGGTGGATAAGACTGCATGCCAATATCAGAAGCTACTTGGCACAATTCAAAGCTACTGATCCCTGGACCCCTTTTTTACATAAGAACCATCCATTCCTTTCCTAAAATGTTCACATAACCCTCCCTCCCACAGTATCGAGGCAAACAGCTGTTCTCCACTGAGGGCTCTTTGGGAGAAGCAAAGTTCTCACAATCACTTTTCACTGTATAGGAATGAAAGAATCATTTGATATTGGTTGACATACACATGCTAAGATGATAAATAAATAATATAAATAAAGCCATAACTCCATAGAAAACACTCTTAGCCAGTTCCTAAGAACATGGAATCCTCTGAAACCTTAGAAAAACTCAGAGGAGGGGGGAAACAATCCATTTCCCAATGCCCCCTCTCTCCTGAAGCCACCTGCATGCTCCTCAAACCTTTCCAGAAGTTGGGAGGGCATGAGGAGTCCTGTGGGTGGCGTGGGGGGACATTAGGGAGAGGAGAGAATTGCTCCATATGTACGGTATTGTTTTCTCAAAGGTAAACTTAGTCCTTCTGTCAAGAGGCATCTCTTATAAAATATATGTCTAGCAATACCTCTTTAGCTTTTAACTTCTGTTATAGACTAGCGGTCTTTGCTGTGTAGATATTAGACTGCTGATCACTGGACAATACAAATATGCCTTGTTGATACCTGTCAGATGTAGCAAGGTCAAGGATATATGTGTAACAGTTGTGGGTCAGGGAAATGAACCTACACATTTTAAAATTGTGTCTCCAGGGAAAAGGCGATGCCTGCCAACTCACAATCTGGGCAATACAACTTCCTCTACGACATCCAGTCTGGGAGAGTTGTGGTGCAATGAACGACTCCTCACCCAGACAGATGCTAGATGGGGCAATCTAATGTGATGTGGTATGCAGAAGATGCTGCATGCTGTGACACTCAGAGGCCCACTTTGTATTGCTCCTCAGGTTCCTTCTCCCTCTTCCCTTAGTTTCTAAACAAAATTCAGAGCTGAGCAAGAGATTTAACATTTTCCATTGGTTACCTATAGGGAGGTTTCTCTCTTCTCTTGCTTTTTCTGATATAACCAGTGTTATCTCTTTGTTAATCTTCTTTTGTACATCATGGATCATATGTATTTGTAGGCTTTCCAAGAGTTTTTGAAGCTAGGATTAAGGAAAGAAAAAGAAAACAGCATGCTTATTTTAATTCTTACCTATAGTTTCTCATTCAGCAATCATGTTACTTCAGAATTTACAGTGGGTATTTTTATTCAAGGTATAAAATTCAAGGTAAGAGCCAACAACATCCAACCATAAGTATATTTTTATAGGGCATGTAATCAGTCATTTAGGGCAAGGAATTGAAATATTTTAGTGAACAAAAAAGTCCCAATTCATCAGGGGATACCTTAAAATAAAGTATTTAGTCTAGATTCATATAGAAACTGCAGGTGACTGCTCTTAACTTAAAAAGAGGTATTTCTCCTTCACTGCCAGATAGTAGAGAGCAGAACAGGAAAAGATGTTTTTTTAATTGCAAAATAACTTTTCCAAATTTTGGAAGTGGCTGTTCTAAGATCACACCTGCTACAGTATCTGTCTGTGACATCTGAAAGCAATCTGTGTCTCCAGAGTGAAAATTTTAATCTTCTGCATATTTTTGCATGTCTACTTGATAAATCTGTTAAAAAACAAATTTGACCAACTGCTTAGGAGTTCTTTAATTAAGTGATAAGATGTTTTTTTAAAAATCTTAATAGCTTACTTAAACTGAAATGTAAGAAAGTACTTTTTTAAAAATAACGTGTTCAGCAACTATCATCACAGAACATGAGAGTAATGATAGATGTTGACTGAGTGAAGTCTAAGAATTGACCAGCCTCTGGTGACAACACTCACCAAACTCTTTTTCAAGTTAACAGGTTGGCCAAGGCCAGAAGCATGTTAAAGCCATTCCATGACTAGAAGAGGAAAATCCTTAACAAATGCTGCAGCAATAGTTTCTCTCACTTCCAGGAGAATGCAAAGTAGCTTGCTCTGACAGATGACTGGTTTTCAGGGCTGAAGTACAGGACTCCATGGAATTCTGATTTCATAAACCCCAAAGACTACCTCAGTCACCTCTGCAATGTTAGTGTGCTTTCAGCTCTTAACTAGGGACTCTCTCTCTAATGCCTTTTTCTGGCCCAAGATGTCACAAACCAACCTCATCAAAGCCATCCACATAAACATATCCTATCATCAGCTTTTAAGTTTTAACATGTCACAAAAGTTGTGGGTTTTGTTTTTATGGGGCTAACCTGGCCTTCCACCCTGGACAAACTTTGCTATTTTGCATGGGCTGGAAAAGCACCAGTCAGGCTACTGTACATTGAACTGCCAGTCAGTTTAGACCCCATGTGTAACCCTCCAGTTGTTTTCAGGCTGCATCTTCCACCATTGCTCTCTACTGGCTGTGCTGATGGAATTTAAAGTCTAACAACATCTGGAGGGTCACATAATCCTCTTCCATGGCTTAGGTCAGAGAGCTAGATAGGCCAATGGTCTCCTTCAATGTAGGGCAGCTTCATATGCTGTCTGTATATGCCTTTTCAGTGATAGGCTCTAGAACCCCTAGTCAAAGGAGTCCCAATTGCCTTCTGGCAGCATGCAAAGACAGTTTTATATACAGGAGCCTTTGGTGCCTAAGCTTATTTGCAGCTAGGACTTCATTGTAATCGTTTCAATGATGCTTGCTACCGTACATATTCTCATAAGTCTGAGGAGGGACAGATTTCTTCTATTGTATAATTTTAATGCTTTTGAGAAACAGAAATATAATTTCTTCTTGCATTCTGCACTGCCTCTTTGGGTTTGTTTTTACCTGGTATATTTTTATCTCAACTTCTGAAGCTTCTTCAGGGGGAAGTATACAGAGATGGGTAGTTCCAAATCTTTCAGAATCATCTTCTATGCCCTTATGCCTGGCTAAGGATTTCATAGCTGGGGACATAACTTCAGTACTAGAAAAAAATCAAATATAATTTGTCTATATCTAATTATATTCAAATATAATTTCTCTTCTAAATATCTTTCAGATCACCAATGATACATTTTTGTTTATCATCTATATCTCTTTCAAAGCACACGGAATAGAGTATTTCATGTTATTTGTCATTTCACTGGTTGGACCACAATCAAGGCCAATAATTAAATAGTGATGATAACACTTAAGAACACACACAGAACATGAAGTATTCTTCAGGCCTACTTCTCACAAGCAGTAGTTGGGGAACCATTTCTTGTTCCATCTGAAAGTGCAGGTCTGAGCATGCAAGATTGTCTAAGCTCATTTGTTTGAAAATATCTGCCACTATGATCATGTTACTTGTCATTTCATCCTGAAATTAAAAACTACCATGCTAGGGGTAGGGATATGGGACAAAATTGTCAGGTTTGTATTCTAAACATTTTCAGAACTACAAACCCATAAATGAACTGGAATGTATTGGCACTCCAAAATATTAAATTTTAGAATATTGCAATCAAGTCCACAGCTTGAAAATGTGTACATTTAGGAAAATTTTGCACAAAAGTATATGCGCTGGAGAAGAGAAAACAGGCTAAAAATCTGCACACTAGGAAAAAAATGCAGAGAAAATGCATCTGAATTTCTATGCAGAATTTAAGGAATGAATTTTGCCAGTCTTGCAAACTTATACAAAAGGAAGCTGACATGAAACTGTAGAAGAAGTTCAGCAAAACTGGCACCGAGTAGTCACCCACCCCTATTTCAAGGAAATTGCTGTAGAAGAGCCCTTTATTTTTGGTTGTTCAAGGTGTCTCCATGTTTGGTTAAATGAAGCAATGGAACAGGAAGTGGAATGAGGCAAGGGTGGAGAGAGGAGATAGAAGATGTTCTGAAAATGAGTTAGATCAATGTGCTCCACCACAATCATATCAGAGGGCTCAGATTTCACATGATTTGTAGATTTGCTAGCTAACTAATCTCAAGCAAGTCACCCTCTCTATTATCCTGGATAAAGTTACTGTGAAGATGACTGGAATGTAGGCTGTAAAACATCTTCTGTATGACTCACGCTATATAAATACTTAGTCATTATAATACGCCATGGGCAGAGAGGGTGTGGTTCTTGGTTTCTCAGTATTTATCAGTTGAACATTCTGTGGTTTGCTTCTGCTACATATGTTATAGTGAGGTCATACAAAATAGAGTTTTTTCCTCTTCCCTTTTTTTCAAAAAAATGCTGTAGCTTTTAAAGTGGTATGACAGTATGCTACTGCAACTGATCTTATTTTAAATTTTGAAAATAAAATCAAATTTGTAATCTTTTATGTGTTGTGTCATCTATACTACTGACAGATAACATATACTGCAGCTCCAGGTCTTTAACATTCGCACACTAAGAAATGTGACCCAAATTATGTTATCAAAATTACTTATGCACTCACCCATATAGCTCAGAAAATTGTTTATGCAGAGGAACTGTGTTGATATCCTCAACTTTCAATTTAAGTCTTCCCCATTCTGCCTTTAAAATTTCCAGCTGCTTCCATAGAATCAGGTACGATCTCTGTAGGGCACACGAAGCCACTGGATCAGGCGGCTCCAGTGGTGCTGACAAAGCTTTTCTCCTTGCTTCAGTTATTGTTTCCGAGTTCTGCTGAAGTTAATATTACAACATGCAGGATCACAGAGTACTTCTAGAAACACCATGTTAAAGCCAGAATACACTAACAGAACAACATGGCAGATTTAGAAAATGCCACAGAGCTTATGTTTATTTTAAAACAACAAAGAATCTTATCTGAACAAGTGTCTGAAGAAGTGGACTTGTGCACAAAAGCTCACATTAAAATATAGCAGTTAGTCTTTAAGGTGCTACAATGTTTTTGTCTTCTTTATTTTTCATGTTTGTTTTGATTTGTTTTTGCCTAACAATGAATCTTATAGCACCTTAAAAGCAGACAATTCAGGATATGCCTCCATGGACTGCAGGCCGCTTCATCAGGTGCAATATGTTGCTATTTTATGGACAAAATCCAGTAATAAATTGCAACCAGAGTAGGCCCATTGAATTGGTGGAATTTAGTGAATCAGCTCCTCCATAAGGCACCGCTTTATTAGTCATTGAGCTGTTTACACAAAAAGTGGCCCACCTCTTCTACCCATGGAATGACAACATGTAATTTAACTGGCTTTGTGACAAAACTCTTCAGGGTAATCTGTGTAGGAGAAAGGAGGAGGACGGCAAGGAAGAAGAAAAAGGTGCTAGATAGTAGAGTATTAAATAAAAGTTTGTTCTGCTATAACCATTACTTTTACCTCTCGGAAAGATATTTGTCGCTTTCGTTGATCACTCAGGATTTCATGGTTATTCCAAACTACATCCTCCATTATAAACTTCATTCCAGCCAACTCACCATGAGCTACTCTTCGATCTTCATCATTCAGCCCACATAAACATAACTGGAAAAGATGACAGCCATTGAAAACTGTTTGGAGTGCCCATAGAAAGTAATCAACCCAATAAGATGTTTACAGGAGAGAAGCTTCTTGGCACTGGTGGAAACAAATTAAGAAAGTATTTGCCTTGTTCCAGTGGCAATATAATAGACTTGTTTCATAAGTCATACAAAGTACTTGATTTTTCTATAGGGATACATGTGCCAATGACAGCACAAGGAAGAACTGGATTTAATTCAAATATATATCCAAGATGAGCAAAAATAAACACTGAAAGTGAAAGTACCGTACCTGCATGCAATAATTTATGGGATTTAAGTTGTCAATAGTGACAGAAAATGGGCCACTGTTTGCCAGGAATGTTCTCCAGGGAAACAACATCTCTGCCTAAAATAAAGAAGTGTAATTTTAAAAATCTGGAACTAAACTCAAGAACAAGCCTATATTTTAGGAAAATAGGCAGCTGACTTATAGTGAATCAGACTTGTGATCATCTAGCCCAGTGGTTCTTAACTTTGGGTTACTCAGGTGTTTTTGAACTGCAACTCCCAGAAACCCCAGCCAGCACAACTGTTGGTGAAGGCTTCTGGGAGTTGCAGTCCAAAAACACCTGAGTAACCCAAGGTTAAGAACCACTGATCTAGCCCAGCATTATCAACTCTGATTGACAGAAGCTCCCCAGGCAGAATTCTTTCTGAGTCATACCTGGAGACCTCTATACCTAGTGGTTTCCCATCCAAGTACTAATCAGATTTGATCCTGCTTAGCTTCCAAAATCAAAGTACTCAGAGAAAATGCAGTGTCACTGATAGGAAGGCCTGAGCCAATGCAGGGCTGGCATTACCATTACGTAAAGTGAAGCAGCTGTCTTACTGGTTGCCATGAAAAGGTAAGCTGGATGTTGCTTGCTTAATTTGGTGTATCAAGATAACTTGGTTAATTTTATATATCAAGATAACTTGACTGACTTTGGAAACTATGCACCATGTCTTCGGTAGAAATGTCATGTGTCTTCCAACAGCAAAATATTTAGGAATAAGTGATAGTGTGGCAATTCCACACATTTTGAGAAGTGGCATTTACATGACAGAGGCTTTAAGAAGTAATTAATTGGTACTCAGCATTTTAATACTCCTTGCTTCATTGCTACCGGGGCTCTGGACTGATTTCTGCATTCAGCAAAATAACAGGGATTGTACCATGTCACAATTCAAATTGATTGAACATTGCATTTTAACAATATTCCTAGATGGAAAAAAATCATTGCATGGCATCTGCTCTGCGGGCGTTTGAAATGGCAATCAGTGGTGTTGAGCCGCCTGCTTACCACACACAGGGAACTGCCATGGAGAAAAAAATATTTGGCTAACAAACACTTGGGGTAATAAGCATGTTCCCAACAGATCTATGATGCAAGAGGATTAGAAGACTCAATTTGTACCAAATTCTGCACTAGTATTTCCAACGTTGCCACTACAGCAAGGATATTTTAGCAACAGACAAAAATAAGAATTGGCTGAGACAAAAACCAGATAACTGGGATGCTTTAAATTGTAGATTGGTACCCATACTACCAATCTACAAGCCTAATAATATAAACAACACCCATGTTATTTTACTAAACACAAACACCCATTAACAATTTATTTATATGCTTTTATATATACAGGTTATAAAATATCAGTCATCTATACAAAATAAATATTTGTGATATTCAAAAATATATACAGCCACAGAGATGTCTAAAAGATTATCTCACATGTGTTTATAAGATATACAGTTTGTTAAGTGATTAATAACCATCGACTGGGAAGCCTGAATATATATTCTTACGAAGTGCTAAATTCATTTCTTGAAGTTCCGAATTCGTATAGTCCATATCTTGTTATGCTCGATGTTTCCTTGAGAGTTTTTTTTTAAATCATCACTGCTTCTCTTAAGAATCTAGTTTGCTTTGATAACAAACTGTCCTTGTTTCTCAGTAATAAATTGTCCATTGCTGCTGACCAACAGCTGCAAGGGCTTAGCCTTGAGAATCTTTAAAGACAGGTGCAAACTAATTACCGGTGAGAGTTTTCTCTCCCCGGTAAGCTTATCTAGACAGAAGTTTGTGGGTATATAATAATAATAGCAATAATTACTTTATTCAGTTGCTTTATTGAAGGTACATGGAATGTGAATGAGTTTTTTTATGCTTTAGATTCCTTGTTGGTGTTAACGAGTTCTAGCACTTTGATAAAGAAAATGAAAACCAAGTTCATATGCAAGTGTCTTGGTCAGCAGCAAGGGACAGTTTATTATGGAGAACCAAGGACAGTTTGTTATCAAAGATGCTGAAGAGAAGCAGTGAGGATTTTGAAAAAACTCTCAAGGAAATGTTGAACATAACAAGATACAGTATAGACCAGTGGTTCTTTACCTTTGTTACTCGGGTGTTTTTGAACTGCAACTCCCAGAAACCTCAGCCAGCAGAGCTAATGGTGAAGGCTTCTGGGAGTTGTAGTCCAAAAACATCTGAGTAACAAAGGTTAAGAACCAGTGATATAGACCAGTGGGTCTTAACCTTTGTTACTCGGATGCTTTTGAACTGCAACTCCCAGAAACCCCAGTCAGGACAGCTGGTGGTGAAGACTTCTGGGAGTTGCAGTCCAAAACTCCTGAGTAGCCCAAGGTTAAGAACCAGTGATATAGACTATAGAAATTAGGCACTTCAAGAAGTGAATTTAGCACTTCGTAAGAATGTATATTCAGGCTTCCCAGCCGATGGTTTTTTATTACTGAAAGAACTGTATATATTATAAACATATGTGAGATAATCTTTTAGGCATCCGTGTGGTTGTATATATATTTGAATATCACAACTATTTATTTTGTATAGATGACTGATAATTTATAACATGTGTATATAAAAGCATATAAGTAAATTATTAGTGGGTGTTTGTGTATAGTAAGATTACATGGTTTTGTTTATATTATTAGGCTTAAGTTGTAGATTATCAACAGATTTCCTTGAGGTATTTCCTCAGAAAGTGTTTGCCTACACTTTCACTTGAAGACAGGAGGGCCTGGCATGCTCTGGTCCGTGGGGTCACGAAGAGTCAGACATGACTAAACAACAACAACACTTTCACTTAGATGTGCTCATTTTTGTACTCCTTGCCCAAAGTTGCAGAAGTGAGAAGAAAATCGCTAAAGAAAACTTTCAAAACCTACTTTACTCACTCTGTGGCTGTGTGGATCTAGTGGTTGTGGGAGCCGGAGCTGGGAACCAAACAGGCTTCCAACAATGGCATTACTCAGAGGAGGCAACCCATGGTACATGTTGTCCGTAAGGCTCTGATAGGCGTTAACATTCCCAGATGATAAAAACATTTTTCTGAAGGATTTGAAGGGAAAATCATGATTATATAATTTGTTCTGCTTTTTAAAACTGCTCCGTAAAATCTACTTTTAAAAATAAATATGCCACAACTTGCCTGAAAGTGAAGTAGCCATGGTGCTTTGGTGGAAAATGTTCAAGGGCAAATGCAGCTGTCTATCTTAATTCTTCTTCAAACAAATGCCACCTTCCATCCCCTGCCCCCCCCCCCGCCGGCAATGCTTAGAATTCAGTAACAATCCATCAGATCATACTAGCAGAGTTCTACAAACCTACCATACTATTCCTTGTTCTCTCACTCATTCCATTTTGCTCTTTTCCTTTTCTATGTGCTCTTCAAACGGACACATGTCAGCACTGAACAGGCCTAAATTCACATATTGGTCTAAATCCAATTGCTACCCTGTTTCCCCGAAAATAAGACCTAACCTGAAAATAAGCCCTAGTATGATTTTTCAGGATGCTTGTAATATAAGCCCTACCCCCCCCCAAAAGCCCCAGTTAAGTGAAACCCCATCCTCCATCATTGTGCAGCAACCAGAAGAAGATGACACAACTGTATTTGAATAAATGTAGATTGTTGTAAATGAAAAAAATAAAAAAATAAAACATACCCTGAAAATAAGCCTTACTGCTTTTTTGGAGCAATAATATAAGACCCTGTCTTATTTTTGGGGAAACGTGGTAATTTCTACTAGAGTAAATCCTTTCAAGCAACTGCTGAATGCTGTCCACCAATTCAATGGGTCTTCCCTAGTTGAAACTACCAGCTGGATTTGAATCATTGTTTGAAAAAGCCCTTATTAAATAACGTGCAGATGAAATAATTCAAAGAGTGTAGGACTAGCGACCTATATTATGGACGTCAGTGTGCTTTTGTGGATAGTCTTGGACTAGGACTCAGGAGACCTGGGTTTAAATGATGCCTGAGCCATGGAGATTCAAGGGGAGAACTGGTAAAACCATTCCTCACATACCCTGAATATCCTATAGGGTCACCATAAGTCAGATGTGGCTTGACGGCATTTAACACATACATAGCTGCATTACATCTGTATATTCAGGTCCAAGTACAGTAATTCTGCTGACAGAGACAAAGGACAAGACCTTCACCCCTTAGGACTGGCTGGTGGTGCAAGCAGGGGAGATATCTTTCTTAAATTTCAAGGTGAAATGCTGCTTGCTTGGCCCAGGGATTTGAATGTTACCCTCTCCCCATAGTCCATGTACAAAAGAAAACTAGGTTACCCACTTAACCTGAGTTCAAAGCCAGCAATGAGAGGCAGACTAGTTTAGGACATGCAGGTCAGGCTATACAACATACACAACTCTGTCCACTCACAGATAGGACTAGCTAGGGGACTCAGAAGGAAGAGCTGAGAGGCTACCACTGCCACTCCCAGATGTCTTTGCCTCAGTCTAGATTACGTACAACACAGCCCTGTATCTATATGGGCACAAAAGTATAATGACCGAATGTACAATGAAAAGAGAATGAAAAGGTTTGTAGCAGACTTATTCTAGTGTGAACAGATTTATTTGAGTGTGAACTACTTTCCTAGATTACAATCTACTTGCGGAGCCACATGTTCTTTTTGCAACACATTGAACAAAACCCTATTGGGCAGGTTCCGCCTGCTCAACAGGCATAACATCACCATGGGCAGAAGAAAATGCATAAGAGTTTGTTTCACTGTATGCAAGAATGCAGCCCCTGACATTAAACAAGGACATATTTAGGCAGTGGCAATCTGCTGATGACATCATTCCTGTTGCATAGGGGGAGCTGTGTGACAGGATTTTAGCTTGACATGAACATGTTCTATGTTAAGCACTGCCAAACTGCATCTGACTTGTGGCAACTCCAGTAGATTTTCAAGGAACAAGAGATACTTAACAAGTGGTTTTTACCATGGACACATACACACCCTGTATGTGTCCATGGCCATGGGAAATTCTACCCCAATCTCCTTTGGAGTCTGACGAACTGGTCACTACATTGCATTGGCTCTGGGAATGTACAGATGAAAAATCAGTTGCATTTAAACATCTTTCCTACATTCCTCCTTAAGATCCCTTTGGTTCAACTGCTGTTCTAGGACATCTGACCATACAATGTATTTATGTAACAAACATACACTCTCCCTGATCAGATGTTTCATGGTGCTTTAGTGCAAAATATACTGAAACTTGTTATTTATAGATTTGGTTAAAAAAGGAAATAAGACAACAAAGACAGAAACGTTGTTTCCAATGAAGACAAAGCACCAGGTGTAAACATGCACATCATTCTGCTACTGTTAAGTGTTGAAATCTTAAACTGAAACTAGGTACACAGTCAGGCATAACTTTCCACCAGCTGTTTTATTTTTAAACCTAAACTAGGCTCGGGGGTTGCAAGTTAAAATGTAGAACAGAGCAAAGGTCACTTAATTCTTCTCTCTCTGGCCATTCTAACTATTCAAAATCCAACCACCCAGCTTCCTTCCAGTCTACAATGGAAGAGAAGATGTGTCTCCATCTTTTCCCTAATTAGTGGACTGAGACATTGTATGGAGAGTCTTTTGCACTGAAAGGATATGCAGAGAAGGAAGGGTTATACCCTTCTTTCTCCATTGATGTTTGCAGTTCCCCATGGTAGCTTTTGCTTTGTGACCTCTTACCGCATAGAATGTCTCACAGCTGCATCAAACTGCAGAAACAGAAGTTCTCGGTGCATGCTCAACATCTGAGCCACTTTAGCTGGATCTGAGGGATTCTGAAGGCAGTCTATCTTTTTCTGCAGTTCTTGGAGCTCATTTCCTAGAATTCCCAAGGAGAGGAATCAGTCAAAGATGCTGGCATGCTTTGGCCTTGTTGATTTCAGTCTCTAAATCAGGAGAGGAAATGTGAGGCCCTCCATAGCTTGTGAGACTGCAATTCCCATCACCCCTAGCCTAGCCAATGGTAAGGAATGCTGGGTTTGATGCCCATCATCATCTGGAGAGCTACAAATCCCTTCCCCCTGCTCTCAGTCTTTTTCAGTGCAATAATTTTCAAGCTCAGGGAAGTCAGAGAGCACAATTGGTTTGCTTGATTTGATTCATGGCTGCCCTTGGAAGAAAATGACCTCAGCCCCTCCAACAGCAGGTACAGAATATGTTGTACAGGTCACTACAGAAACACAAGCCTCCTTCTTGAAGCAGCTTGAAAGGACCACCCAGACTCCATGACTGGCATCTAGAGTGCAGGTCTCATCACAGTGTAAGCATGTACTGTCCTGTGATCATGATATGTGAAATATAAACATGTATTTTAAATACCAGATGGCCATAATGGCTAAAGAATTCTGGGTGTTTAATTCCAAAGAAGTACATATACATACATACACACACATGCATATGTAATACTTTCCATATTGGCTACTAACCAATCCATTCAGTCCCTCCCCAGTCTGCAGTGAGATGCTCAGAAGGGCACAGGTAATCAAAGCAACAGGGCGCATTCCCTAGCTGAGCAAAACTAAAAATGTATGAAATAATGTCGTGAAGAGCTGCTACAATCTGAAGGGTCTGTCTCAAGGCTCGGGAAGCAGTCTGCAGAAAAAAGGTTGGGGAAAAAAGAACAGAAACTAAGACTATATTCAAAACAAAGCAAAACATCAATAGCTCTGTGGTTTAGGTACATGGCTTCCAACTCCGTAGTTGTAAGACCAAGCATATCAGTTTAGGTACGTGGCTGTGGAGCCAGAGGTTTTGAGTGTGCAATTTCCCACTGTGCCTCCTTGACAGAGGCTGGACTTGATGATCCCCATAGGGTCCCCTCCAACTCCATAGTTGTAAGATCAAGCATATCAACTAATGAAAAATCTCAAACTGGAAGATTCGGCTGCGATTTGGACTGTTGATTCACTAATGCATTGCTAGCAGTTAAAAAAGCCTGAACAAAGCATGGACAAAATGAAGAAGCAGCTGGAGGGAATGGACCACTGGTTCACAACTTTGAGTCCTGATATGTTCTCAGACTATATCTCTCAGAAATCCTGGCCATCGGAGCTAGCTCAGACTATATCTCTCAGAAATCCTGGCCATCAGAGCTAGCTCTGAAGGCTTCTGTGAATTTTAGTCCAAAAACATCTGGAGACCCAAGGTTAGGAACCCCTGGAATAGAGCATAAGTCATTGGGTTTGGGTATCTTGTCCTATCATGAGTTTTCTAAACAACCCTCTTCACACGAATTCCTGCATTCTCTCTTTCTTCAAGGAAGTCAATTAATATTTATTTCTTTTAGTGGGAAGTAAACCAAACCAAGCCTAAGCAAAGTGTGCTGCTTATATACAGCCCAATCGTGCTTAAGCTCTCTCTGGGTGGTTTACAATGTAATAAGCAAAGTGTGCTGCTTATATACAGCCCAATCGTGCTTAAGTCTCTCTGGGTGGTTTACAATGTAATTATATAGGCTCCATATTGCCTCCCCACCCCCAGCAAGCTGGGTATTCAGTTTACTGACCTCGGAAGGTTGGAAGGTTGAGCTAACCATGAGCCAACTACCTGAGCCCAAGATTGAATGCAGGATGTGAACAAAGTCTTCATTGCAGTACTGCAGTTTAATCAGTGCACTAGGAGGTAGCCACACCCATGGAGTCTTAAAGAGGGCTATCAGCATACATAAAAGCCATTTGTAGGCTTCTGCAACCAAATACTGTAAGGTGTGACTTTTTAATGCACTATCTTGGAATGGAGTTTTAAAATAAATGCATTTTATATTTTTACTTAAATACAAGTTTGCAGAGTGATTATTTGGGTTTTATAGCATCAGCCCACACTAGCTCACCACATTGTGTTGGCACAAAATACCAAATATTCTCACTGAGTAAGCTTTCCTTTGAAAAGAATGGCTTAGAAGCTTACTTCAGCATTGCCTCCAGCTTTTTTTTCCCTAGCAAGTGTTGTAACGGAGCTAGAGTTCATTGCATTACATTGAGATTTTTCAACAGCTATTATTCCCCATTTAGATTTTCCATATGACGCATTAACACATCTTATGACACCTCTAGCTTCAGTCATTTTTGAAACGACTGTGAATCAGCTTTAGAATGCTAAGTACATTTTTGCTATGTGTCACAAAAGAATCAGCATCAACTCCATCGCTGCAGTTTGACTAACAGGGATTTTCTTTAAGACTAAAGGTACTAACCTTCTCTGGTAGCATTCTGAAAACAAATAGCACTTCTGAAGGGTGAGGAACAAACCACAGATTCAAGAAGGATTGTCCATCGGAGGACAGCAAAGAACGAGGCCGTGGCTGGAATGATCTACGGAAGGAAGCTGAATTACTTGTACAATTACACCACCAAGTTCTGTCCAAGTAATTGGTCATGGCTGGCATATATATATTGATATTGATATATATAGGCCAGAATCCTGTTTGGAAAAACAGTGCACATAAGGGCAATTGCATACGCGGTTTCCCTGAGCAGTATGCCCTTCATACAACCAGTTGTGTGATTGGTCTTGTGCCCAGTTTTACACCTGGTACATGACTAGTCATGTGAAGGACAACCTACCTGGAGGGCAGGACTGTTTATCCAAATGCCCTTCCACTCCATGTTTCTACAACAGGATTCTGGCCATGTATTTGCTTCTGTTCAGAGCCACTAGAGGATGGAAGCTGAAACATCTTGCAGTAACATATGTGTAGCGAACAGCCCTGCCCTCACCTGTCCATCACAGAAGAACAGTGGAGAAGGAGCCAATGAGAGGATGGAAGGCAGAGCCAAGGGGGGAGGGGCTGGATATAAAGGCTGATGTATGGAGTATGAAGAGTGATTCTGGTAGTGAATATAAAGGCTGGTGTATGGAGTATGAAGAGTGATTTTGGTAGTGAAAGGCAGTGTGAACTAAGAGTGAACTAAGAGTGAGTTAGAGATCTGTAAGAACACTGAATGGAACAGAGGGTTAATAGAGTTCTAAAGTTAAAGTAGAATTGATTCAAATATAAGTGATTAGCAATGGTGATTTACCTATTGAATATTAATCAAATGTTAACTTCCCTGATCTAATAAATGATTTAAGTTTTAAAAGCACACGTGTCTCCTGGATTGAATGGTATTGAAGCAGCAATACCTGGTAGCAGCGAAGAAAGAAGAGCGTGAACCTCCTGAAGGCCTGGGGGAATAGGGGCTTCAGAGGAAATCGCCACAATATGGATGTTTCTGTTTTGTTGTTTTTGGTGACAAACACTAAGATGCCCCTTTTCTATGTATAGCTATTTTTTATTTGCCACACGAGCAATGTACATATAACATGTAAGGATTATTATCATTACTACCAGTAGTAGAAGTACAAATGGCACACCACCATTCTACACCTAAAGTGGCACATGCCAAAAATAATAATAGCAGGGGAACTAGACTGTTCCTTTGATATTTAATCTGTCAACTAAATGACATTAGCACTAATTGCAAGTGGATTCAATATTTTGGCAAGAGTATGTGGTATATTTTGTTCAGCCAGGGATTGCAACAGCATTTCCTTTCATGTTATTTTTTCTTGCTTGTGTGATCACCTTTATAGGACTGTTGCTGAGTGTATCCAAATGGCAACACTGATTAGGGTGTGACATGGGAATTAACCCTACGCCTTTTGCCTGCCTTGTGTTTGCACTGATAAGGACCACAACTGCAATACAATTTGTAAACTGCATTTTAAAACTAATTTTCTCTTAGTTGAGCACTATAGGATTTTCAATGCAATTTGTAAACTGCATTTAAAGTATGTTTTTCTCTTAGTTTAACACTACCCGTGTTTCCCTGAAAATGATAGGGTCTTAAACCCTACGCCTTTTGCCTGCCTTGTGTTTGCACTGATAAGGACCACAACTGCAATACAATTTGTAAACTGCATTTTAAAACTAATTTTCTCTTAGTTGAGCACTATAGGATTTTCAATGCAATTTGTAAACTGCATTTAAAGTATGTTTTTCTCTTAGTTTAACACTACCCGTGTTTCCCTGAAAATGACAGGGTCTTAAATTGCTCCAAAAAAACGCATTAGGGCTTATTTTCCAGGGATTTTTTTCAGGTACAATCTACATTTATTCAAATGTAGTGGTGCCTCACATTGCGACGTTAATTCGTTCCGCAAAAATCGCTGCAGAACGAAAACTTCGCAGTGCGAAATAAAAAAGCCCATAGAAACGCATTAAAACCTGATTAATGCATTCCTATGGACTTAAAACTCACCATTCAGTGAAGATCCTCCATAGCGCAGCCATTTCTGGTGCCTCTTAAGCGAGCCATCCATCCCAGAAAACAGCAGGCGGCCATTTTGTTTACCCGGCGGCCATTTTGAAACCGCCGATCAGCTGTTTTAAAATAGTCGCTTTGCGATGCTCGGTTCTCGAAGCAGGGAACCGATCATGGCAAAGCGAAATTCCCCCATAGGGAACATCGCAAAGCGATCGCTTTTGTGATCGCAAAAAATGCGTCACAAAGCGATTTCATCGCTAAACGGGGCGATCGCTATGCGCGGCACCACTGTACAGTTCTGTCATCTTCTTCTGGTTGCTGCACAATGGTGGAGGGCCGGGTTTCACTTAACTGGGGCTTATTTGGGGGGAGGGCTTATATTACAGGCATCCTGAAAAATCATACTAGAGCTTATTTTCAGGTTAGGTCATATTTTCGGGGAAACAGGGTATAGCTAAACTAATACAGCACACATTCAAATGCTTATCAAGTCATTTCAGTTCAGTGCTATTTCACTTGCTAAATGTTAAACAGAAGAAAGGATCTGAATGCTGGCAAAAGGGTGGGTGAGAGTGTGGTACGGGCAAAGAAGGGTGAGTGAAAAGGAGGGGGCTGTGTGACATCAGGACTCTTGAACTGCTTTTTCCTGGGATAATTAAACATTTCTGTGTGGATCATGGCAGCAATATAAATGCTAGAGTGAGGTATAGAGAAGTTTGCATTTGTAAAAGACAATTGTCTCTGTGATCACACCCTTAGATCAGTAACTAGCACAGAGCCAGCAGCTGTTGCAATATTATGAGATGGAGAAAGAAACAGAATTTATCACTTCTTGGACAGGCAACTGCTGAAGGCTCTATAAACAGTCCTGGGTTTTTCAGAGAAACAGTGGGTGTTTATGACAGAGAAAATGATAGTGACCTCTCCTTCAACCATTCAGTTACAAAGTTTTTAAAGGCTTTTATTGGTATTATTTATGACAATACGACTAGGTTATAAATACTATAAAGAAACTAGCTGATGGCAAGTACAAGTCACCCTACCTTCTCCAATTTTTAGACCAAATATGATACAGAATCACAAACAGATTCATTACTAACCTGGGATCATTTTCAGGCTTTTCCTTTTCTCCTTTCTTCTCTTGCGGCAAGCCTATAATGAAGTATTGGGCCCTCACACTGGGAAAATTGTCTAGCATAGCTTTTGTACTGTTGCAGTATGCAATTATCTGACCTCGAAGAGAATATTGTGATATACGATGGCTCATCCTAAATGATATCAAAAGGCAATGTTAGATTACACTGTTAGTATGCTAAACACGTTGTTTTCTCTGCTTTACGATTTCTTCAACTTAAAGGTAAACTAATACATTTATGAAATAAATTATGGCGACACCCACACTTTACATAACTTCTCAGTGAGGTGATAAATTCCGTATATATAAAGCATATCTTGCACTTTCAAAATTTGTCGTGAATAATCATTGCATTCTTCGTTGAACACAGACATCTATAATCATTTCCTATTGTTTAATTTCATAGATATAAAGCAGATATAGTTGTATGATTTCTACATTCAGATCATGAGAAAGAGACTGCTGTCGTCATTCTAGACTGTTGACTTTAATAGCTTGATATGTTTTTGCAACAATTCACCCAAAACTTATACAGCAAAGAGACTTGCAGCATCTCAAAGATTAAGAAGTTGGATTTAATGTTAGCTTTTTTGAACTGTAGCCCATTTCTTCAAATGCAGTGGGCTTTAGTTGGTGACAGCTTATGCCTGATGAAACTTTTTAGCTTTTAAGGCTCTACCAGTATCTTTGGAGCAAACCATGTTCTTGCTGCGTTAATGTAAAGTTAGTATTCATTTGTGTAATTAGTCACATCTCCCTGGCACAACTGACTACAGAACACACCAACAAAAGTGCTTCAGGCATCACACTTCTGCCTTGGTGCTGGCACAGGTGCCACCATGAGCTGCGTGTGTGAAGTTGCGCAACAGGATTTTGGCCTTTGTTAGTTCTGTTGCAAGAGACTCATTTCTAAAGCAGAGCGGGGATAGTGTCACCAGAGGAATGAAAACACTGCTGTGATAGAGTCTGAAGGGCAAGCATTTCTCATGGACAGCTGGAAAGCTGAACAGCTGCTAATGCCATACAATAGGAGGAGGGAACTTTTGGCCCTCTCAGTTATTTGGACTTCCCTTTCCATCAGCCTCACACAGCACAGCTGAGGGTAAGGAATGATGGATGAGGAAGTCCAACATTGGTAGGATCAGAAGCCCATATCCTTGCTCTACTAATATGAGCAATTGACCAATATAAACTTTACGGTGTAAGCACTGGATCCTCAACTTTGCCTTTCTCAATTCCGTGCAGGATCCCTCTCGTTGGCTTTCCCTGCTTTGCTAACTCCACTCGCTTTCTCTCTCTCTCTCTCTTTCTCTTTGACGCACTCTGTCCCAAACACACAGCCTTCCCTGGAACAAAAGGGAGCCTGTGTAACAACAACTTTGGCAATTTACTTCTAAGATCATTACTTGGCTTATATAAATGCAGCTTTATTTTTGTAAATACACTTTATGTAAAAACTACCTTAAGCATTCCAGATCGCATCTAGAGTTCAGTTCATCAGATCTTATACTGTATATTGGGCTAGATGGGTGGGAGGGTGCCCCTGCTGTGATGGTCTGTGGGAGGGTTGTTTTTTTTTTTTTTGTACCTTTAGACTTCTTATATTCTTCCAGAATATCTTTTCAACGTATCGATTTGGATACATTATTTTGTCATAATATAGATTCTTAAAACCTGATACGCTGGGAAGACTGGCTGGCTATACAGTTAGGTTAATTGCTAAAAGATTTCCTGGCACGCTTACTGAAACAAACATTACCACATCTGCCAAGTGGATAGCAACAAACCTGTTGCTATGTAGGCTTCAACCGAGGATGAGAAAAAGAGACCTCATATATGTGACTCCTAAGCAGATGAACTATCTATGTTTCATGCACTCACCTGTGGCAGTAGTCAATAATAACTTCTCTTCTGACTTTTTCAACTTCCTCCTACAATAAATGTTACCACTTGTCTTTTATACAATTTCCACAATTGTACACAATTATGCACATAATTAAAATAAGCATGTAAGGATACAGTGGATTCATACTGTTCCAGCATGAAGAAATTGCAGGATGCTACTATGCACTCCGGCACTCATGCGCAGCTGTCTGATTGTGCTATGTGCTGGCAGACGTGTCTCAGGGACAGCACGTCTGTCTTGGTACTAGCACAACTACTGCAGGCACAACCTCAGGTTCCACAGGCATAGTTGCACAATAGGACTTTGGCCGTTGTATTAAAATAAAATGATTGTCTAATGGAATAATCAGAAAGAATCGATGGAATCCAAAGTTGTCTTGCATGAATGGAAAGCCTCTTCCAATTTTTGGATTTCCATTTCAAAGTGGCCTCCCTAAATTCTGCTTTCTGCCAACTGATGCTGCAATCCTGCACAACTCAGACAATCCCTTTCAGAGGGTCCCTGATCTTTCAGAGCACATTTTCAGGGCGTGCAAGGGTGCTGCCATTAGAAGGAAAGGGCAGGAAATGCTCATCACATGAAGAGAATGCCACCTGGATTTCTCTGAATCCAGCCCACCATGTTTTAGAAGGATTTGTCTTTGTGTTCTATTTATTTATTTATTTATGCATGCCACTCATCTGGCTACCAAGGACACTCTGGGCAGTTTACAAATACCATCATTATAAACAATAATACAAAAATAATCGATAACAATTTAAAACTAAGTGTGAAAAGAATGAAAATAAAATACATTAAAATAATCAAATAATAAAGCCATGGCGAAGGGTTGAATATATAGTTATTAAAAGCACCACTGTATTGAGACATTCTAGAGGCCAGGAAGGCCTGTCTAAATAGCCATGTTTTTAGTAATCTTTTGAAAGTTCCCAGTGAAGGGGCCAGGCATATTTTGGACTGGAGACGATTGCAAAGTTGTGGAGCAACTGCTGAGAAAGCCAGATTTCTGGTTGTCGTTTTTCCTGCCTCTGTTGAGGTCAAGACTCTCAACCACCTAGCTTGAGAAGATCTTGCAAGACGGGCAGATCTAGTTGGAAGGAGGAGTTCTGCCAGATATTGGGGTCCAAAATCATTTAGGGTCTTATAGGTTAACACCATAACCTTGAAGCTGGCATGGAAACAGACAGGTAACCAGAGCAGAGTGGCCAGAGTGGGGGAAATGTGTTGATGTCTCCTCAGTTATCTGGCCACCAAATTCTGGACCAGCTGAAGTCTTCATAACAGCCCCAAGGGCAACCCCACGTAGACAGCATTAAAATAGTCTGATCTTGAGACTACCAGTGCATCTTCTCCGAGTTCAGCCTCAGTCTATTATCCCTCATCCAATCCAGCATGGCGTCCAGGCAGTGCTCAAAAGACAGGACAGCATCCACTGCAGAAGGATGGAAGGAGAGATAGAGCTGGGTGTCACCCACATATTGGTAACACAAAGCTCCAAAACTCCTGATGACCTCCCCCAGTGGCCTAATAAAGATGTTAAATAGCACTGGGGAGATGATTGAGCCTTGTGGGAATCTACAACTGAGAGTCCACAAAGTGGACAGCTGTATTCTCTGAGGGGAGTCCTCTAGAAAGGACCGGAGCCAGGCCAAGGCCAGGCCTCTGATGCCAAACCCAGAGAGCCTCCCCAGGAGGATACTGTGGTTGACAGTTACAAAAGCCACTGACAGGTCAAGGAGGACCAACGAGGATGGTTGGCCCTTATCAGCCACCCTCAAAATGTCATCTTGCAGGATGACCAATGCCGTCTCTGTGCTGTGACATGAGAGCCTCCCCAGGAGGATACTGTGGTTGGTCAAGGAGGACCAACGAGGATGGTTTGCCCTTGTCAGCCACCCTCAAAATGTCATCGTGCAGGGTGACCAATGCAGTCTCTGTGCTGTGATGCGGCCTGAACACGGACTGGAATGGATTGAGGGCATTGGTTTTCTCCAGAAGTGCCTGAAGTTGGTCGGCCACTACTCTCTCCGCTAGCTTGCTGATAAAAGGGACATTGGCAGTGGGTTTAGAGTTGTTAATATTGTCCACTGCCAAGTTGGCCTTTTTATGAATTGACCTAATGAGTGTCTACTTGAGGGCAATGGGGACCCTGCCCTCCAGGAAAGACCCATTAATAAATAGCCGTAGCTTACTCTGTTATTAATGGTCTGGCTGCTTTCAAGAGCTAGGCCAGGCAAGGAGCTAGTGAAGTTGTGGTGGCCCTACAGCAATCAGGCATTAGTTGACCTAATCACAGTTGATCTGGGATTACAGAATAATTATAGAAATACAAAAAATTGATCTAAATATAATTAAATAGGCATTTTGTTAATATAAAGGCAATCATGGACAAAGAGTACTATACAAGAGGTACCCTATAAGGCAAAGGGAACAATTGACACCAGATGAATACCCATGTAAAATCCCTAATAAGTCACAATAAATGTCTTGGAACCCATGGAAAATAAAATGACATATTTTATGCATACTTCATTGATGCATCCATACACAATATTTTGTTCTCTATGATTCTCACCACAGACTGGCATAACAGTTTGATGATGATTTTAAAACTTGCAGTGAAATCATTTTAAAACCAAACAAACATGCAAGTTAATTGCTCAAAGATTTCCTGAGAGACTTACTGGGTTTTGCATTCTGCTTCCCAAGATTCGTTTCTTTTGAATGAATGTGTTTAGCATCATGTCCCGGGGACCCTGTTTCTCCAACTGAATTGAAACAAAAGCATCTGGAAGCCTAAAGAATGAATGAGACAGAAATACTGACAGTGTTTGATTATTACACACACCGTATTGCTGAACAGGAAATGGTTACTCCCTATTTACCCTCTCTAAAATTTTAGTCCAACAGAGTACTAAAATATCATGATTAAACTAAATGGATTGACTCCTACCACCATCTAAAAATCCAGGCTTACTTTAAATATGCATCAGCCTACTGTCCGTCTCACAGTTCTGTCTAAACAAAATGAAATTGATATTTCCCATCAGATCACCCCCAAAGCACTGCACCATGCTTGTCAGTGCCATGCCACTAATGGCAGGGTGAGCTTCATGGGTCATGTGGAAATTACACGCACCAGTCTAATTTAAAAATAGGACAGAGCAATTTCTCCTCCTTTCCAGCAGACTGAAAAGCTGAAAAGACTGAGGTTATCAGCTCAACCCACACAATTCCAACATCCATCCACCACAGAACACACGGATAGGGCTGCCAGAAGCTGTGAATGCATGTGACCACAATCTCTGACAGTATTTGTGTACATGGGCAAAATTCTGGAACCCACTGCACTGTATCTCTCTACCTCAGTAAAGTGTTCTGTCCAGGTACAAAACGCCCTGTGGCGTATGACATCAGCCGTGAAGTGGCCATCAATTGGTCTTCCGCTTCCTTCCAGCCAGCTGGACTCTTTCCACCCATTGAGCTGTTTTGACTCCTCAGACTTAGGCTTCCTTCCTGAAAGAGGAAGGATTTTTATTTTACCAAGATTGGTTACTTTAAGCAGAAAATGGACTCTTAGTTACTCAAAGCATGGGAAATTTACATTTTAGACGTCAACCCCCAGCTTGCCTCATCAGCCATTCCAACTTGAGGGATTCTGGAAGCTCTACTGTGGGTATATTTTCTAAGCTCTGGCCTTGCCATTTTTGCTCAGCAGAGCCCCTGACATGCATGGGTTCCTGAAGGTGACACGACAACTGCGGCAACAACGGGACCTCCACAACCTGGGTCACATAAACTCTCTGAATGGCCCTGAGCAGCACGATGTTGGGTCCTTAAAGGAATTTCAGAGGGTGGCTAGATCCAGCTGCCCAACTGGGTTTACTTCTGCAGGAGGAAACTTCTCATTTCATGACATTTATTCTATTTGCTTTATTTGTTAATAGCGTGTCATTATGCATATGTTACTAATTTTCAGTTTAACTTTCAAAATTACAATAGTATCTAAGTCCTTTTTTCATAGTAGGCAGGTAGTCGCCATTACTGGCCATTCATACATGAAAACATTCCAGCATTAAAACTGTTAAGCTTGAAGTGACAGGAAAGGAGTGGATTAAATTCCACCTCAGACTGTAATGAGTAAAGAAATATTTTGCAGGAAAACTACATATTTTCTCAGATCCATATATCCCTAAAGGTGAATGCTCACCCTCATGCCCACAGTTTGTGTGGATTGCACCATGGGGCAAAATGCAGCCTGTTGAACAGCGACAAGGACTGTGTTTTTATGAGTGATTTGGCAAGCAAGAGCGATCTGCAAATTTTCCATTCCATAGGGCTTTAGTAGTAGCTGAAGGATAAAAATGTAGATGATGAGAAATGATGATGAAACTGCACAGTTTTTTCTTGGCACAGGCACAGCTGACTCTTTCTGTTCACAAAAAGGGCAGCAGACAAAGGATGGAATCTTTGCAGGTCGACTCTAATCTTATTTTAGACAGCATCTAGAACCATCACTGAGCACAACACAAAACAATAAAGTGGCTAACATTAAGGAAATGAAACAAAATAGCAATGTTGGTGGGAACGCTTCTGGTGGAAATGCAGAAGTGGTGACGGTAACTACCGATGTGGAAAATTTGCTTGTTTCATTTTTGTTGCATTTTTCAGAAAACTACCTCATTCCATCCTTGGGTCTGTTTTGCCCTGTGAGACAAAAAAAAATCCTCACACAGATATTTGTGCATCCTATAGCACACAATTGTCCTACTGGGTACACTTTGTACCTGTTTTGGGCAATATTTCCTCAATGACTGATGTTTCCGTACAGTGTGTGTGTGTGTGTGTGTGTGTGTGTGTGTGTGTGTGTGTGTGTGTGTGTGTGCGTGCGTGCGTGCGTGCGTGCGTGCGTGTGCGTGTGCGTATGCGTGTGTGCATTTTAATGGGACAAATATTTGAAATGCACACATTGATCTATGTTCATTTATTCTTTACTGAAGCATATTACAAGCCTACAAACTGAGGCAAAATGGACTTCATCTCACTGTTGAGTAAAATGCTGGTTCCAATCCAGTTAATTTCAGAGTTAGAAAGTTGCATTTCACATTGCACCTTCTGGAATCCCCAGAGCATGCAGCAGGTGAGGGAGAAATTGTCCATGACTTTAAAATTATTAAATAGTGGATTTTCCCTATGGAAGAGCAATTCTTTTTAATTTTGGTATTTGAATTTATACTGCGTTATCCAGCCTTTAACTTCATAGAGCTGCTTTCCAAGTGATGCACAAGGACCAAGGACCATATTTTTCCATGTATAAGATGCTACATTTTCCTAAAATCATTACACTAAAAATTGAGGGGCATCTTATACATGGAAGTAAACTGAAGAGAGAACAAAACTGCACATACCTTGCCTCTACAAACAGGCTGCCTCCAATCACGAGGCTTAGCTTCCTTCAATCAGGAGCCTTATGGAACTGATGTCAGAACAAACCAATTGGAACACACCTCATTGGAGATGGAACCTGTAGTAGGCTCAGATGCAACAGGGACTCATAATGTTTGAGTGTTCTGAGCCTAGAGGCTCAAAATCTAAGTTTTCTCAAAGCTTACTCAAAGCTAAGTTTTCTTAATTTTAGGTTAGAAAAGTGTACGGGGGGATCTTATACACGGGGGCATCTTATAGATGGAAAAATATGGTACTGTAGTCTTACAGTATGGCTTTCTAGACTATTTCTACGGTTTTGAACTAGATTCATTGCTTTCATGCATTGACTAGCATATTTGAAATGATGTAAAGTGACATTTCAAAAGCTAGGCATTGTGTGTGTATGTGTGTATGTGCGCGAGAGAGCTGTTCACTCTGTTTTCTCATAGTGGTTGGCAGAGGTTGTCAAGTTACCATGATAAAATAAAGCATAGGACACTGGTGGTTCTTATATACAGCTTGGTCAACTAGACACAAAATTTATAGGAAATGAGAGTGAAGTAAAATACTATGTTGAAACTGAATGGAAGAAAAAGAGGTCAGCCACCTGGAGAATGCTCTCTCTTGTGCAAAAGCTAAATTTCCCGATCTGATTGTCAATATCCTGGATGTTTAACATTATACTGGATGGAATGTATCTGCAAGAAAGAAGAATTTCTCAGTTACACAAATTAATATGGAAACCTTCTTGAATCAGACAATTAAAACGAACCACTGTTTTGGAGAAAAAGAATTCTGATTTGGATGAGTAGATTAAAGGTCAAACCAGAGAAGTTTGGAATTTATGTAGAAGAGGTGCTCTCCTTCGGGTGGTGAAAAATATTTGTCATTAAAACTATTTCTCCTCACTTTTATTAATAATAAACAGTAACATGCTGTCAAATCTAACTTATGGCATAAGGTCCCAGGATTTTCTGGTGATCAGAAGTGGTTTACCATTTCCTTCTTCTAGGGGCGTTCTGGATCTATGCAGCTTGCCCAAGGTTATATAGGCTAGCTCTTCTCCAGGAAGGCACAGTGGGGGACGGAGATCCTAACCTCTGGCTCTGCAGCCAGACAACTAATGTTTGTGACTGGAAGAAAAAGAGGACTTGCTTTCCAAGTCTGATTGTTGAGGCATGCATTGCTGAGGAAATCCAACTGTAGGCAGTTGGAAGAAATGCATGTAACTATTAGAATCTAGTTTTACCCAGAGTTAATTATCAAAGAAAAAGTGATGACAATAGCAACCTAATGCAAGGCTCTCAATGTAATCCTAGATATGAAGTTGAGGGAGCAGGAAATCTAGGCTGCACTTTACTGTGGCAGCAACACAGCACTTGCACTGCCCCGGGGAATCCATCAAGCACTGCAGGCACAAACTAACAATCTCAACAGCAATGAGCCCATGCCAGAATCCACTGTACTGGCATGGTATCCACATTGCATAGTACAGCTCGTGTCTCCTTCTGCTTGTCATTTGCCAGAATCTGTGTGGGGTACATTTGTCTGCACCTCTGCAGTCACAACTGAGTAGAGTCATCCACTTGTCCTTCCCTGGCATGTATGAGAAGGGAGAAGTCGCTAAAGGAAGAGGAGGAATGGTCTGTATCACTGGGATATGTCAAGATAAAGGGGAAGCTCTGAGTTGCCATGACATATGCAAAAACAAATTGCAGTGCAAATACCTGTAGCATAGCAGATGCACAAACTGACTGTGTGGACATTGTAACACCTGAGGCCCGAATGATGGCACAGGCAAAGGCGCCACTGTTAGCTATGCATACCTGTGTTTGGTTTTGTTTAGATGCACCTGGTTCTTCCAGCTCTAACCCTCTCAGCCGTACTTGCAAGATTATAATGGCAGCTCCACTCCAGCTTGTGAAATTATCAGAATTTTATTTCATCATTTATAGTTTTGAAAGGTTAAGATTGAAGCAACAATCCCTGAACCCTCACTTTACATCAATGCTGAAATACGCAAAAGTCAAAGAACTATGGAAGGTTGTTGTAGGTTTTCGGGCTGTTTGGCCGTGTTCTTAAAGTTTTCCGCCTAACGTTTGGCCAGTCTCTGTGGCTGGCATCTTCAGAGGACAGGAGTCAGAACTCTGTGCTCTGGTGCAGTTTGTGGGATAGTTGAGTATTTATAGCTGTGAGATCAGCTTTTTGTCCTTTTCAAGAGATTGGGTGATTATGGTGATCAGCATGTTTTTTGTTGTGGGTGTATTGTTGTGATAAGGGGGAGAGATGATCTGTCACGGTGATGGATGGGGGTTGTTAGCTGGTCTTTTGTGTGGGTCTATGTGGCTGGGTAGAGTTCGTTGACCTTTTGCAGGCTGCATATATATTTAAACTATGGAAAATTTAAGAAGGACTAGCTTCTCTAGAACTGTAATCATTTCCTCCTTATGAACTGTGACATTTACCAAAATGGCCACAAAGCCCTGCCTTACCTATCCACCACACTGCTGTCATGTTGCTCTCCAAGGGAAGTAAGAAATACTGATGGCAGCTGATCTACTTTCTCTTTGTGAGTTGCAAATTCAAAGTAAACAGGCCGTAAGTACAAATGGAACTCATCAAAACCCATTTCTCCAGCAAATTCTTTATACAGCCTGAAAAAGAGAGATATACACTTCTATAGGTCGATATTCCATTATTCATTGTTGTTTTCTTATACAGTACTTATGGAAATCTATGTCAGTTACATTTAACTTTGTACCCATTGTCTGTTACTGCAAAAATGCAAACCAAAACAACAACAACATGCAGGATTGCATTTTTAAGTGATACTCCTTAAATTTTGATGGTTCTTTGTACCCATTGTCTGTTACTGCAAAAACACAAACTAAAACAACAACGTGCAGGATTGCATTTTTAAGTGATACTGTTTAAATTTTGATGGTCCTAGTTTTATAATCAACAACTGTACAGTAAGGAGTTCAGGAGGAGAACCTCTGTCCAGTGACTGCTCCTCAATAACCTACACCATTACCATTCTAATTAGCGCTAATGGGTGCTAAAGTCGAGGAACATCAGGAAGGCTACAGGTTCCTGCACTCGGGGTATAGTTTTATACTGCATCAGAGTGGATGTGGATGAAGGTAGATATGTTGACTTAAGTGGGCAATGGACAGAGAAAATATACTGGCCAGAAAGGGGCTTGGAAGGACTGGAGAATGGAGAAATCTGAATGGCAGCAATAGTCTTAGTATTACAGGAATCCTGGATACACATTTTTACAAATATATCCCAAATGCTGAAAAGAGAGGCTGGCTCAGAAGCTCATTGATAATTATATTAATTTTTAAAATGAATAAAGACTCTACTGACCCTGAAGATTATAGACCTATGTCTCTAATAAATCAAGATGCTAAGATATTTATGGCGATATTGGCAAAGAGAACAAATATTTTTACTACTAAATACATTAAAGAAGATCAAAGTAGTTTTATACCAGGAAAGCAAATGGCAAACCTGATTAGGAGAGTATGAAGTGTAAGAAATGGAATATTGAGGCAAAAAGTAAAGACATGTATTATTTCCTTATATATTTTTAAGGCACTTGATTGTGTGGAATGGTTAATATTAAAAATTATAATTTAGGTATTAGGTTCAGCAAATGTTTTAAAGGAATAATAGCTTAATTATACTCAGAGCATATAGTAGTAGTACTAATAAATCATGGAATAATTGAACAAATATCTCTAGGCTGTGGTACTAGACAAGGATGTCCCCTTTCGTTGGTATCGTTCACTTTAGTTATAGAACTGTTAGTGAATGTTATTAGAGAAGATAAAGCAATTCCAGAGATTGGTATTAAAGATAGCTTTAAAATTAATTTATTCACTGATGATAGCTTATTAACAATAGAAAACCTTCTAAAGGTTAAGGAGAGGGTAAAACTATGTCTAAAAGAATTTGGAGACTGGGTTTCAAATAAATTAGCATCAGTCAGAAATGATGGTGTTTAACTATAGCAAAGAGGACAGAGAAAAAATTAGAAAAATAAATTGATTAATATGATGATTAAATATGATTAATAAATTCTGTAATATAAATGAGAAACCTTTTTCTGTTTGTTTTTGTGGGGGGGGGTGTTGTTTTGTAAATGTAACTTAAAAGAAAAGAGATTTCCCTCAGAACATCATTGACCATACCACATAGCCATTACTAACCTGCCCAGCTGTGCACTCTCCACTGCTGCCTCTATCAATCGATGGCGAAGGATGAGAAGTTCAAGGAGCCTTGAGAAGACATTCAGAATTAAATCTTGTTTTTCTTTGCTCCGTTTCTGTTCTTCCTCTGCTACGGATTTCAGTGCTGATGTAACAATCTCTCTAACAACAGAAGGGTCTTCAACCAGAATATCTGTGAATAACTATCAGGAAACATGCTACTTACAAGCATTCTGTTAAAAAACCTACTGTTGTTTTCAGCCAGAATCCTATTGCCAAGGAATGCTCATGTTAAGGGAAACTGCATAAATCACAGAGGCAAATTGTGACTCATCGAGGAGGGGAGCTGGTTGTGTTCCTGGGTGTATCCAAGACTGCAACCAGGACTTCCTTGAGAAGTGGCCATTTGTTGTGAAGACTTGTGCAATTCCCCCTATGCAAGTGTAGTTCAGTAATAGGATTGTGACCACTGATTTTATGATTACAAGTTTATTGCTTATGCTGTTATGCTTTACTTTGGGAAAGTTTGCTTAAACAGCAGGTTATATTTTTTTAAAAAACATTTCCTCTTTATTCAGTTATAATCAAGAAGCATGGATATGATTGTCTGACTACTGCATCAACACATCAGTCCTTCACAGACACAGAGCAAGCTCTTCTGCCACCCAAGATGAGAAAAGAATGCCTTTCATCTCCTCATCAAGGCATAGCTGGCCATCCACGTGGCAATGCTCACAAGGCAGAGGAAGGCGAAGCCTTGGCTGGGCATTTGAATAGTGGCTGACTGCAAGGGCCAAGGCGTTGTGAGATGGATGGCCAAAAGAATGCCTGCATCAAATGAATTCCTTCTGATTGTCATTCCCACTGTGTCTTCTCCCCAAGGAACCTCTCAGGACCAGGCACTATTCAAACAGCCAGCCAAGAAGCCAGTACCCTAGGCAGATTTCTCCAATTCTGCCTCTAGTGTGGTGGTGTCTTTGGTGCCATTGGGCTCCATGACTTCAGATGGCTGTCTCCCTGGGACTAACAAAAGGGCAAGCCCTGCTCTTTCATTATGAATAACATGAGTGTGTAGAGCAGCGTTGGGAAACACCTACAGCTGATATTGGACTGCAGCTCACATCAACCCTAGTTAGCACAGCGAATGGGGGAGATTGCAGGCTCTAGAGGGCCCCCATTCCTCCTTCTCTGGTGCCGGGTTTGCAACAGAGCTCATGGAAATTTTGGAGCACCAACAACACCATTCTGAATAGCATTTACTCAAGTAAGGACAAAGCTATCCCACGGCGTATTCTTGCTGGAAGAATGAGAGCCAATGATGCCATCTTTCCACCCACACCAAGCTTGTTGGAACGTCTTTCCTTAATGTCATCTGTCCAGTCCACAAGACTTCCCAGTCAAGGCTCCTCCGAGTGGCCACCCCAAGGGAGGCCCATAATTCTCTACAAGAGTTAGGGCCTTCTTAGCACTGGCTCCAACTCTATGGAACTAGCATCCGAAGGAGCTCCACCTAGCCCCCCCTCCCTGTGGGCATTTAGGAAGCAGTTAAAGACATTGCTTTTCAGGGAAGCTTTCCGCACCAACCCTAGCTGACCACCTTCCCCTTCCTTTTTTCTTTTTCTTTCCCCTCCTCTTCTTCCCTCCCTTCTTTTCCTCCATACACTCTGGGAATTAGTCAGTGCCATCTGTTATTTTAAGGGTTATTATTGCTGGTTTTAATGTCTCTATTTTTATTATTATTTTTATTATAAGTGTTGTAACCAATGAATGAGTGAGTGAGTGAGTGAGAGAGTGAGTGAGTGAGTGAGTGAGCGAACGAACCAACGAACGAACGAACGAACGAACGAACGAACGAGCAAGCAAGCAAGCAAGCAAGCAAGCAAGCTTCACAGTACCCAGAGTTAGGAAGATTATTCCGGAATCTGTGGCAGAAAATACCACAACCACCCATGCTATCTCCAATGGGGTGGAAATGCAATAAAAGAAAAGGAAAGGGCTGATCATCTGCTGCCTTTAAATGGCATTCCAAATACTGTAAGCTGCCTCAAGCATCTAGCTTATTCCTCCTAGCAGCAGAGGCAGGTCCAAGTAAAAGAATACAACATACTGCAGGTCCATTACTTCAAAACAATAAGAAATCAACACAAATGTATGAGGAGGAAGACAAAACATACATCTTTCTGAATCTGAAGACCATAAAGGGACTCCGGATTTTCCATAGTGAACCATGTGTCTAGTGCAAGCTGAAGGACTTGCTTCTCCAGTTTAATTGCCTCGCTGGCTGTCTTTAGCCTACTGATTTGCTGGAACTCTTGGAGGACGTGACCCAGAGCCTTTGGAATTAAAGACACCAGTCCAAGGGAGGGGTGGAATTCCAATAAGTAAGTGTTCTTTGAAGCTATGCTTTAGAAAGGAGAGACAAGATGGCATTAAAAAAACAATTATGAGCAGGAACAAATGGGTATTGTTTTTTAAAAAAACTGATGACATGAAAATGCTGTCAGAGTTATCACCTTCCCATTCACAGTCAAGATAAAAGGAAATGAACACATCAGCCCAAAACGTAAATAAACCTTTCTGGTAGCCAGAGACTTTGGGCCCCCCTATGTTGTGTGTGATTTTCTGTGATTCCTTTAAGTGGACTAAATGGGAAGTCAAATAAACTCAGGAACTTAAAAGGAAGAATATTTTGTATAATGGAAGGTTTAATGAATATTGAAGAATAATAAAGCAAGACTATTAATATACAGTATATGTAACATATATGCACATACACATATACAGGTAGCATAATTATTACTTCAACTTTTAAACTTAAGGATGAGAAATGGCAATCTTGCTCTGACCACTGATTAATAGACTATTCAGATAACTCAGTGTGATGACCTTATTTTAATCAGAACCTTTTTAATTCAAGAAACTAACAAGAGCAGAACTTGATTGTTCCAGATTTTAATTGAACAATGGCAGCAAAGGTTGACAAGAATAGAAGACAATATTACTCACAGGCTGTTATTAAGAGCAATTAATTGTTTTGAAATTATATAGGGGGGAAAACCAAATTCAGAGATACCACCTTTGGGGCCATCACGCCAAATCTTATGGTTGTAATTACGTTGCTTATCTACCTGAAAATCAAAGAAACATCTCTTGTGAGATTATATAAAATGCAAAGAATTCTGAACATTTTTAAGGACCGACTTTTTAATAACAATTCAAGAATGTTACAAGCATGTTGCAAGTAGGCATGGTGGCACAATCAGATTGCCAGACTCACCAGTTGAATAAACTTATTTTCTTTCCTCTTTCTCACTTCCTACGAACCTTGTAGCATGCGCCTTGTGTTGAACAAGTGCAGGAACGCTAACAGTGGCTGCTTGATAGGTGGATGAGAGATGGAAAGAAAGTGGAGAAATAGTACACAGGAGGATAGAAAGAAAGAAAGAAGAGGAGAGGGAGAGCAAGGTAGAAATGTGCATCTTGACATCTGCTGCCTTTCTCTAATGACTATCTATAGATTTTTGACCTTAGGTCATTTCTCCCTTCTTCACGCAAGTGACTTAGTTCTTTGATCTCCTCCAGCCTTACCCTCCCTAAGATGGATGGGCAGTTGGGAGGGTCAATCTATATGATAGCATGCTTTAGCATGCTTATATTCAGGAAAGCCAACTCTAGGGGGTTCTGTAGTTGAGGCTTGTTCATTTTGTCCTGTTCTAGCCTCAATATATTTCATGAGGCAAAAAACATAAGCTGAACTCTTTATCTGATCATGAACATCCTGAGTGATTATTCTGGACTCACAGCTGTGAAGGAATCATACTAGCCCACTGCACTACGGCAATGTAATTATAAGATTCCTATACCTTGGACTTCAAGGTCCTCATGTGGAAAACCATGGTATCTCTTGGCCTCAGCTGAGCATTAACTATACAGAACACTGACTGCTCACCTGTTGGTTTATTACATCCCTCACCAGCTGTGTATGAAGCCTTAGGCAAGTGCACTCATCCTTATAGATGTCTAGAAAATATCCAGCCTGGAAATCAAACCGAGGGCGTCTGTACATGATGTCAGTTATGACTTGAGCCAAAGAAAATCTTTCTTCTGGATCTAGAGCATGTTGGTATGCTTCAAAGTAACTATCCAGCAGCTGAAAATATATTAAAAACACAAACAAGAAAGTGTTGTTTTTCCTTTGTCCTTTTTAATTGGCTTTATCAAAGGGAGGTGGAAATATATTTTTCTCCCTTTCTCCTATTGCTAGAACCTGAGCCATCCACTGAAATTGACTCGCGAGAGATCAGGATAGGATGTGGAAGCAACCCAGTGCCTGGTTAAGCACTGCCTGGAGAGGTAGTGAGGACTGCCAATCTGAACGGCCTTAAAATGAGAGTGGACAATCTTAGGGAGGGTAAGGCTATCCACAGCGAGTTGTCAGCATGGCTATATTTCACCTCCAATCTTAAAGGTAGGATATCTCTGTATAAAAGTTGCTGGATAACACGAGAGAAAGGGAAGTAACCCTTGTGCCTAGTGGCAGGTTCCTCATAGTGGCCAACTGGCAGGCCACTATGTGAAGAGAAGGTCAGACTAGATGGCCATTGGTTTGATTCAGGAATGACCGTGAGGAGCAGGTGGCTCCAGGGAGTGGCACTGCTTGCCCTACAGTGGGGCAGACCTTGGGAGGTATCCAACAATACCTACTCCTGATGCTTGCCTTGATCTCTGCTATGAACAAGCAATCTCTAAATCAACTTTTAGCTGGTTTTTTGCAGTTGATTAATTCCTTTTTATCATTCCTTGTTTTGAGGAGTTTTATGTGGATGTTTATACTTTTCTGTCTTTTCCCATTGCAGGATGGTGTCAATAGGCAGGGAAGTGACAGTTGGAAACCATTCTGAGTGTTTCAAACTATAAGAACACAATTAGTTTGAAAGCTAAGCTAATGTCTGAATCCCATGGGGGAGGGAAATGAAGACATAGATAATAAGCAAGTTCCATCACTATTTGTATTTTTTCATGTTTAATATACATTTCAAGCCTACATAGCCTTCCATATGGCCATGTAGTGAATCACACTAGATTAGGCCCATTGAATCAATGGGGATATGGTGAGGCAACTAGAGTGGTCACAATTGACTAGATAGGCGGGGTATAAATGAAATTAAAAAAAAAACTCCACCATCAGTTCTGTTGATTCAAATGATCTTACTTTAACTGTGACTTGCTGTGCAAAAATAAATCACACAGTAGTCCTGTTTGAACCAATGGAACTTACAGAGGAGTTGACGCATCAAACTGTACTCTTGTACAATTTACTATTCTAAGCAACAGGATTCTGGCATATTATAATATTTAAAAATCATTAAAAATAGGAATGGAATATGCATTCAATGCATGAACAGTTTTCAATAATTATATCAAAAAGGCAGCAGAAGACAGTAGCAATAATCTGAAGTTGTAGTTTGATTAAAAATATGGGTCAGCCTCAAACTGAATGGATAGAATAAAATTCAATAATTAAAAGCTACAGTGAAAAATCAGGTCTTTAGAACTGAGTTCCAAGAAATCTATTAGGAAGCTAAGTGCACTTCCCACAAGAGGGACTTGAGCTTCTTAAGCTAAATTCTATACAGCGGGCTAACTGTAGTGCATGCTACCTACAATTCACCATATGAACTTGCACACTTAATTGACTATAGTCACTCTCAGGTTCTTAATGTGAAAAATATACACACAGTGTATACCTGCCATTTATTTTCTAAGAAAGCTGCTTCACATGTCCAAAGGTCAAGCAGTACTGCAGCTCGATCCACTGTTGTATGTGCCCAGTCTGAGCGGCTGCTATTACAGGAATCACTGTTGGCTTTATGGCCTTGGAAAGACAAAGATAGCAGAGCAGATGATAATACAAAAGTAAGCAAGCAAAGCTCTCGTAGCTGAGATGCCTGTTTAACATGGCTGTTTTTCCTTGTCCCTTCATCCGCATGCTCTGACTTCTCAGATGTCTTTCATTCACATAGCTCAGTATAAATCAGCCATCTGTGTACACATTTCAGGAATAACCAAAACTCCTTGTATGCTTTGGGAGTACTCAGGAAATCTACACTTTGTGACCTTATAAATGGGACTGTCAAGAAGTTAAATTGTGTATAGAGCATTAAAACAATTAAGGGGGGTGTAGAAAATGCAATCCTGAAAATGTACATTGTGCTACAGAGATACTACAAATCAACAAAATGAGTTTTGAATAGCAGTTTACTAAAAGTTGCTGCAAAACAATTAATCAGCCCTCCAGCCAAGTCTGGGAACAAGGTCACTTAATGTTTTCAATATTTGAAGTTTTATTACGGATATTAAATATAGAAGCAACGTAGATGAATAAAGGTTATAGAATTAGACAAGCTGATGTTGGCTGAAATTATTGCAATACTGAAAAGACTTATGCCTTGATACCCAGATGAACTTTGACATATTGGAAATTATTGTCTGATTTCATTATGGAATTAATTATTAACTGGGATAAATGCCGGCTGTGATGAACAGAGACTTCTGATTTTTGCCTAGAGGGTAATAAAGTTCTGTAGGGCTTTTAGGGAGAGGTTCAGGCATCAGACTTCCTGACCTGACAGGACCTTCAACCTAACATGCAAGTTTTTACAGCATCAGTAGACAACTCCCTCAGCAACAGTTACACCACAAAAGAGTGAAGTTGTCCTTTATCAAATTACAATCACAATGGAATTTAGCTATACATCCTTATTGGACTATTTTATTGTAACTTCCAAACTTGCCTTCAGGAAACAATCTGGAGTCTCATTATGGTGGGCTAGATTGGGATAACCCGATCATTCATTCCTGACAGACAAATGAAAATTTACAGAACTTCCATTATCATTCCTGTGGATATTCAATCCTGGTCCTATTACTTGATTGTGCTTTTGCTACCCAGTTTTCTCTGTTTACACTGGGCCTGTGTCAGTCTCAATGCTCTTTGGTCCACTGAACGTATTATAGCGCTAGTAAACAATGTTACCTTACCTTTCTCTGCTTCTATGTACTGGGTTGCCACAAGCAAAAGCTGATTTTCTAGTTTCTTCAGGTCCTGCAGGGCAACATCATACATCACAAAAACCCCTCTCTGATCCTGTGTGTGGATATATACCTCTTCTGTAGTGTAAAAATCATCATGATTCTCTATCTCTGAAAACTCCATAAATTTCACACTATGAACCTGCATGGTGAGAGAGAGAGAGAGAGAGAGAGAGATCAACAAAGCTGGATGAAAAATATATTGTTCAGTTAAGCCACACCTTCTTTGATTTCCATATGATTGGCAACAAGATTTTGTGACTGGAGGCAGCATGTGGTTTGGGGTGGGCGAGACTAGTGGTCTGAACATTGGTAGCCATGATGATTTATGAATCTCTAGAATTTTCAAAAGAGGGCTCCATTAATGCCGAGAAACAAAATAGAAAATAAATATTGAAAATAAACCTAGAAGGAATGAATGGATATTACGTATGCTGAAAGGGAAGTCACTGAATCAGTGTAATATTACAGTTGTCATGCTGCTATCCTACTTAGGCTGATCAGCTCTAGAATGACCCAATCTGGAGAGATTTTATAATATGAAAAAAATGCATATTTATTATATTAACATGACCTTCCCATCTGAATCCTTTTCTCCCCGTTTAGTCACATTTAGGCCATGTACACACAGCTATAGATAAATATTTGGTCACAATAGCTGTGCTCTTCCTACAAGCAGCGACCCTTCAAAGGAGAACTGCATTCACGGGATATTCCTTCCAGGAGAATAACTCTCATTCTGAGAACAAAAGTTCTTCCTGTGCTTGAGCAGCCAGAACGAATCCATCCTCTCCATTATTTTTTAACTTCTTTTATAGTTTGCATCCATGAACTTTCAACAAGAGTGCAAGGGAGGTCCTGTTGGCCTTATGGCAAATTCTAAAATCTGTGTTCTTGTGACATCACTATAAGTCCATCCAAAAAGTAAAGTTTCACACATACAAACCCCTCCTTCATCAGGCATGGTGAAGTTTCAAAAAGGTGTATGTGTCTGGGAGATCACTGTGAGAGCAGAGGAGTCTGCATATCATCTGGAGCTGTAATGGGGAAGATTTTCAGACAGTTAAAACTGTCCAGCTGTTACAGTTCAGCCTGAATCGCCCCTTTGTATTGCTGGTAGGATGAAAGGCTATAGAAGGCAGTAAACTCTGAATCTCCATTTTGAAAATACAAGAACTCATTTGCAGCACAGAGCTGTCTCTTATCCAGTGTGAAGCCGACAGTTCTTTTATACAGAGTGAGAGTCTTACATCATGTATTACAGGGTCAGATACCATGGGATCTGCTCCACTGGTTAAACAGGTAAAACTGAAGGGTTTTTTTTACTGACCACAAGATATAAAAGGCTGATTCGAATTGGCCCAGCCCTTTTTGCTTCAAAATCAGTTTGTTTTTCTGCCAAGGGACGGCTTTTATTGTTTAAAGCTGGAATTATTCAAACAGGCTTTTCCCTATGTGGTTAGTTGTGATACTTTCTTGTAAAGGCGGATGTATGCCCATAGGTGGTGGTTTTGTGACATAAGCAACTGGGGTGTGATGTTCAGGACTGGGGAACATGCCCTCACCTCCGATTATCCTCCATTAAAAAAATTCTTACATATATGAAATTGGCACTAGATCAATCTATCATTTTATCACTGGGTCACTGTTATTATTTCCTGCATTTATGCCCCCATCAGACTGGTAAAAGTCAGATCAGAAGAATGAAGGAATGTGATGGAAATTACATCACATCCAGTATGAATTGTGAACTCCCCAGTCAACCTGCAACCGTTGCATGAATCAACACAGGCTGTGAATCAAATTGCAGCAAAGCCAAATCACTCCAATTTGGCTTCCTAGTGTAGTTGCACCCTTAGGCAGTTTGTACATTGTCAGGGCTGGAGATTATTTTAGATGCTAGCTCAGGTCAATGTGAACTCATCTGGGTAGTTTGCTTTGTGTTGGGGTGATGAGTGCTCAGAAGTCATAAGTTCCTGTTTAGGTTACATGAAATCCACTTCTTCTAGTGCAGAGTCCCAATGTTAGAATGCTTGAATTAGGTATCAAGGCTCAAAGGAAATAAAAAATAAAATGCAACAGCCGTGAGGCTGTGTGCATTGATTTCAGTAGCAACGGGGGGGGGGGGGCAGCTTGGGGTACCTTTAAGATAAATAAATTTCAGTGTGAGCTTTTGTAGATTGCAACCCACTTCTTCAGACATATGGAACATTATATCTAGGCTATGCGCCAACATGTGTTTATACCCATCTATTTGCTGGGTGTTTCTGGTGTGGGCATGAGGGTGGGTGGGACAACAGTTGCACATGGTATAAAGTCTAATAATAACTGCATGTTACCACCTGGCAATGAGCTTCCATGGTGACAGTGGCATGAATGGCACCGGTAGTGAAGGAATGAACGAACAAAGGTCCAAGCCTCACAACAATATTGGTGTTTCTGTTCAGAGGCAGAGCAGCAACTGCAGCCCTCCTGACAGAGTACAAAGCACCCAAAGCCAATCTAGTTATTGTGACGCCGAGGCAGCAAATCCCAGAAACACCATTTCCTACGTTATAAAAATAAATAACTACAGTATATCCTGTCCTTTTGTGACACCTACAATCTACCATCTGATACAGCTGCCTCACTCTGCCTAATGGTAGGGCAAGGTCTGGTTACAGGAGCAGTGTTATTTTCTCACTTCAGGTTCATTGATTACCTTCCAATGTGGGACTTTACAATCACCATTATTAGGGCAAAAATCCAAAGTATACGCAGAAGATTACAGACACGGAGGGTCTTTTTCGTTATCCTTGTCTACTGCACAGAATTTACCCTGTTACACCTGACTTCATTTTTATGAAGACATTTTATGATACCACCTCATGCCTCACCTTATAGTCTGCTGGTGTATAATGCACATAGGAGTGAGAACCAAGACCACTACAGTCACCAGTGCCTCCTTTGGCTGCATTTACCCAACAGGAGTCTTCAGCAGTAGAAACCAGATGGCCAGCATTCAGGGCAAGACCTGAGGTGCTGATTGTTAGTGACCTTTCAATAGATCTGAAGTAGTTGAGGATTCCCAGGCAAATTCGCTGGCATCAATTGGCAGGAGGTTTAAACAGAGAGCACAAAAATAATAAGTATTAACAATAAGAAAAAGCATTCAGAAGAATTAACAACACTGTATGCTGTCTTAACAGCCTTAAATAATATATTTCATACACATAGTTTTTGTTTACCTGCAGTTGTCTGATTCTCAAGTGACGTAAATAAAGGAGAGACAAATAAGCTCCTTTCCTTGGGCCAAGGTCCAGGCTGTTAGTTTCTGTGTCCTCATCTAACCCAAGCAGTTGCAAGGTGGTTGTGTAACTATTTTTTTCCAAGAAGAAATTTAATTAAACACTGCTCCTCAAAGAGATTTCTAAGCTGCATCTAAATTAAATTACCTCTTTATATTTGCTCTCTAGAAGGAAAGTCTCTGTTGAAATCACCTACATGGAACCACCTACAAAACTGAATTCAGAAAGGGGACCTCATATCATTAAGGGGAATGATGTAAATAAGGGTTACAAATGGACAATCTTATAGAAATGCAATTACACTTATGTGCAGAGAGCATTGAGTATCTATAGTTTCCATTGCCACATCTCCAGCCTTGTTTCTTCCTAGCTCACATCACCAACAGTAACAAGCATCCTTCTCATCCATTAAGGCAGTTGAGACATATAATTTGTTGCCCTGCCAGTAGTAGACCAGGATAAGCACTGAGAGCTATAAAAGAATGACTTGGAACCACAGTGGTGGAAAATGCTATCACTGGGACTATAAATGGGAAATAAATAATTTTTGGAAGTCAGGATCCATAAAGTGCTGATATTAGCAGAGGGGTCAATCGGTTCTTTTCCAATGTAACTAAATCCAATGAAGGCCAGTAAGCCCCCCAGAGCTAGTTTTTGGACAGCATGGAGGGCTGAAAGCTGAAGGGGATAGAAAGAACATCCCATCACCTTAATATTGAAGCACTAATGCAATTTTGTTGTTAGGCAAATGTTTTGTAGCTACAAACTAAAAGAGAACAGATGGAGGAAGAGGAAGCCCCAAAACCTGTGTTAACAGAAGGGAGATTATGTAGAGGGCCTGTATGCGGCATCCAGTAAATGAAGATGCTGGAATAATCCATTGTATTGGACCTGGCTGGGGACTTGAACTTCTGACAGCTTGTTGGACTGTTGCATATAGTGCAGAGAGTGGATTTAGCACATCCAGAAGTCAAGACAGTGCTATCCTTTGACCATCATCAGTTTGGCAAAGCACCAGAGTTCTAATGGAAGGCAGCAATGAAATGGGACAGATATATGTAAGGTCTGCAGTAATAAACTATGCATATTACTATAAATATATATAGTACATCAATCTGTAAACAGAATGTGCTACTGAAGGATCCAGGGCTTCTGTTGCATTCAGTTAAAAAGTGGCATTTTACACAAATGTACATGAACAAACAAATACATGTGCAATATATACTTTTGTGTAATGAGGAAGAAACACAACATATACAGAGAATTAACAATTCACCTGGCATCTTTTTTCTTTCTTGAAAAACTGTACCCTTCATTAAGGCTGCCATCTTCCATGACTCTTTTATCAGTTGCCTTGGCAGGGCTATCATAATCTCCATTTGTTTGTTTTTCCTGTCCAAATGTAAGGACTTGGTATTACAGACAGATTGTCCCCCCTCTGTTTTTTTAAAGTATTATATAAATAGAAAGAAACAAACACACCATTCCAATCTTGCAGAACCTAATCTTCCAGAGGCTGAAGTTTCATTACCATCAGTCCTAAGCAACTCAACCAATGGTAGCCAAAAGTTAGCCATTCTTTATCTTTTATTTTCTTAAAGGTCTGGTTGAGAGCCAGTGGAGAAAAGCAAACAAAAATCGCTCTTGTTGCCCCTTCCTGTCTCCTCCTGCCACTGAGGAACACAGCTCTCAGCTGGACTTTTAAAAGAAAAACAAAGGAAAGCTTCCAGGATGAAGCATTCCATTTTTTAAAAAGTAGTGCAGCAAATATTTGCTGCCCAATACAAACTTACAAAAACAACCATTCACTTCCTTGACTATTCCATGGAACCGAGGAAGTGATTTATTAGCCAATATTGTGATGTGGCTCTCTTCTTAAGCTACTTAACAATATTGGCAAATTAGAGGAAGGCTTGCTTTTGGTCTGTTCCCAGCAATAATATGCTGAAAACAGACAAAAGCTGCACTTGAAAAATGGAAGGCCCTGAGAGGAGCCAGAAAGGTTTGGGTAGGCACACCCTGGGGACAATTTGGTTTTCTCCAGTGATTACATCATGGGATCACTGTCAAAAGGAGAGAACCAACCCTTCCCCAGAGCATTCCAAACAGTGAGCTAAATGCCAATCTGATCTCATTCACAGGCCATTTGAGTGTGAGCCTTATGCTTACACGACATGTAGTGCTTGAAAAAGGAAACCTTTTTGGACTCCTTGGTTACTGACTATGGTGGCCATAGGATTCCAGGATTCCAGTCACTGGGTGATGTCTTATTGCCATCATACGCACTGTCGTACCACTGTCTGAGACAATGGAAGTTATGAATTCAGAATCAACCGATGCCTTTCATCATTTCTGCCAGCGATGGAACAAAATGCAAATCACCACAAAATAAGCAAAAAGAGAAGTTTCAAACAGGATGCCAAAAAAGATCTCTGCTGTAACACAGTACTGAAGTGTACTCATGAGTTGGGACTGGAGCGGGATCTTTGTTAAGAGTAAAGAAAACACATAAGAAAAGAAAATGCTTATGATCCTACCCTTATAGAGGCCCACACATATTTTGGCTTATACTGTACTCTCCTTCATATTACCTGGTAGAATTCTGGGCTGCAATAAATCTTTTCCCAGATTTCTTCATATTGTTGTGAATTGAAAGAAGTCATTGAAACTGACGTCATTGGCTTTGGCTGCGGTATCGCTGTTGCTTGCTCTTGGAGAGCCTGCATCACCCACTCCATGTTGGAAACCTGATTGATCACAGCAACATATTGGTGCTTATCAAAAGAAAAGGCTCCATTCAGATCATGTAGACCTTACATATAGGAGAGAGTTCATCTTAAGGAGGACAGCACTTTCACCCAGCACAAAAGGAGGTGGCATATGTGAAACATTCTCTAGACAGGAAAACTGAATGAATGGAATAACCTTGGGTACCAGTCCATCTTCCCATAGTTTGTTTTAATGTTGTCTACATGATGGGCTAAATGCAATTGTTAGTTGTAAAGACAGTAGACCCACTGACTACTGTGAACACTTACATAAGTCCCACAGACTACTATAATTGTGTCTGACACCTGAATTGATTCCTAAGATAGTTGTTTTTGTGCACTTTCTTAAGAGAAAGGAATTTTCTTCTTCAATTTTGTATTTGAAAGAAGGAACAAAAATAATGAGTTGGAAACAGACTGAGTTAGTTAATTTTTGGTCCCATTGAAATCAAAGTGACTCAGGTTACTTCAAAACTATTCTTGTCCCTTTCGCTGTCATGTGACCCAGAAGTTCCACTAATTTACTGGTAATGTAATTTTATAGTTTTTAAACTGCAGGGATGGCTAATAAGCATATCAAATCAATGAGAAAAATATAAGTACAGGAAAATCTCAGAAATGCTACAAGTTGGCTAGAGATGTAATGTGGAAAGGTCAGTTCAGTCAGTTTACCTAGTCCTGAATGAACATAGCTTTTGGAATAAGTGGCTACGGAATCCTTCCCTGGTCAATGATCTTAGAACTCTGAAAATTGTTTCAGTTTATTGAAATTCAAATAATATTTTGATGTAAATTCTGTCTATGTGCACGATGACAGATCTGACAGAAGATTTAATAGAGAAGTGGAGAAGTCACAAATACATGAAGAATCTGCTGATAAAAGGAGGGAAGGAAGGAAACTCCATTCCTCAGCTCTTCTGTTTACCTCTAAAAACTTTGCCTGAAGCAGCAAGAGTCCATCCACCTTTTTTGATTGTCTCAGTTTCATTAGGAGCTTTTGTTGCCAGGGGTCTTGTTTAGCTTTAATCTGCTTGCCAGAAAAAAACAAAAAGAGGAGGCATGTAAAGGACATGGCACAAAGGGGATACAGTATATATTTCTTCCCCTAATCCAATCAAAGTGATGAATGAAGATCTGGGATGGGGTAATTGGCCTCCAGATGTTGGATCATAGCTCTCACCTATAATGAGAGATAACGGGGAGCTGCAGTCCAATAGCCTCCCGAAGGGCACAAGCTGCTCACTTTGGAAGGAGAGGACAGTTTTCTGTGTGCAGTTTAGTTTAGTTTTCTGTGTGCAAAAAGTTATTACACAGGGCAGAAAAAACTAGTACGCTGAATATTTGAACCTGATTCAGGTGGTGCCTGAGTGAAGTGCAAAAACAGCTGTATGTGAAGATCTCCTCATCCATCCACTCCACAGCTGACTGGGGCTGCCTTCTCAGCCAGCATTAATAATGTAGGGTTCATCACATTTTATTTTATTCACAGCTCAAGGTCTGGAACATCATCCTAGTACACTGCTCAGTTAAGGAAGGCTTCAGTATTTCATCATAATATTCCTTCATTTTGAAAATAACTGTACAAATCTCTGACCTGATCAAATATTAGATCAGCCTTCTGAGGAGTGACACTACCAATTACTTATCTGGTGTGTGCATTTAATTGCACACATGCAACCTGTTTGAGCACAAAGCTCTCAGGATTGAGGTGATTGAGTTGAGTTCAACCCGGAAGGAGTGCACAGCGGCTTGCCACTGATAATTGGGGAAATTGGAGACCCCAAAGTTATTTGTTACAGTCTAAACACACTTACTAACACATCAAAATCAAGTGTTTTCCCCCTTTACCTTTATATAGGGAATCCAATTGGCTCTCTTTTTCAAAGACATGTGGGGGCCTGCTATACCCCAAGCTTCCAATCCAGGCATTCCAACATCATAAACAGGGAATGTCCTCATTGTCTGCTGCTCACTGAAAATGCTTCTAAACTTACGTGTGACCTAAGAAACTCACAAAAAAGATGCCCATCAGGTAACAAAAATCAAGAGAAGTTTTCACAGAACACCTCAATTTATAAAATGATGAGCTCTTATTGACAAGGGTGGGAGAGCACTTTAGCTTGGGAGTTTTCATAGCTGATTTCACTGGATTTTATTTATTTATTTTATTTATTTATTAAATTTATACCCTGCCCCTCTAGACCATGTCTACTCCGCCCTTCTAGACCCCACCCCTCTAGACCATGTTAATGTATATCCCCACTCTTTGCATCCATATGCAGTAGGATCATCGTTCCTGGATATAACATGACAGGCATCTGCTGTATGCACATCTGCAATTGTTCTTGATATCTCATCATGCCCTCCCATTTTTGCCTACTTTCTCCAGGCACACTCCATAAGGAGTTTGCATGATATAAGAAGAATGTTGTTTGGACCTCAGAAATGATGCTTCTAAGAGCAGTGCTCAATGAAGTACATCAAGAGTGAAAAATCCCCCTATCTTAAAAGCCCTATGTTACAAAAGTTGTATGACTAAAATAGCTGATATAATTTAAACTTATCATATCACCACAGATCAAAGAGTGAGGAGTATTCCGTCCTCACACAAATGAGGAGTTTCTACTAAGAGAAATTCTCTCTTCCCACAATAAACTGAGCTGGTCTAGTATTTTCTCATTTCTGTTCCCGTAACATTCCAAAACCCTGGATGTTCATGGTTTTGTGGTAGCTTTTGTTTCTTTAAACAAATAAAAAATGTACATACAAATTTCCTTTCTAAAGTTAACGAGTCTCCAGAATATGATAAAGTCACTAGTTTACTAGCAAGGGGCTCCATTTCACTTCTAAACTGAGAATACTCAGTGACATGAGTACATTCAGAAAGCATGGTGGATCAAAAATTCAGATCCAAAGAAGTTAGCACACTGCATAAGTTATTAAATTAGGGAGATTCACTGATTCAGCATTACTAATTACTAACTTTACTACCGTAATTACTAATTGTAAAGCTTCTAACAATCAGGAGAGGCAGGTATGTTGCCTAAAATAAAAGCGTAAGAAATAAATTCAGAGATTTGACAAGGAAATTTAATACACCATTTAGGGCATTTTTATTGGAAACATCTGCTTGATGCTTGGGAAGACTTTCTACTTATTGCTTCCATAAATGCTTAAATAATGGTATGAAAATGTTCCCTTCTTTATGTATTAGGAGACTGGAAAAAAATTAGAGTGTTTTCCATCCAGGAACTACGTTACATTAAAAAGTTGACTCAATGTTAATTCTATTTAAAAACTTTCCAAATTAAGTGAAATGTTGACAATAATAACTAATTTTGGTATGTCCAATATATTTGTATTGTGGTCTTTTAAAATACAGTATGCATACAAAGAAAATACAGAAGTGTAGGATAAGAATGAGGGACATGGTGGTGCTGTGGGCTAAACCGCAGAAGCCTGTGCTGCAGGGTCAGAAGACCAAGCAGTTGTAAGATCGAATCCACGTGACGGAGTGAGCTCCCGTCGCTTGTCCCAGCTCCCGCCAACCTAGCGGTTCGAACGCATGCAAATGCAAGTAGACAAATAGGGACCACTTTGGTGGGAAGGTAACAGCGGTCCGTGTCTAAGTCGCACTGGCCATGTGACCACGGAAGATTGTCGTCGGACAAAACGCTGACGCTATGGCTTGGAAACGGGGATGAGCACCGCCCCCTAGAGTCGAACACGACTGGACAAAAATTGTCAAGGGGAACCTTTACCTTTACTTTACCTTTTAGGATAAGAATGAGGATCGAGGATGGTCAAAAGAAGGTGAACTGCCTTGATTCAGGCCTTGCCCCAAAAAGGAAGAGAGACAAAAACTATTGACATCCCACCAATGTTTTTAATATAAATCCAGCAATTAAATTACCATGGAAAAGAGTTCCATCTCATTAGCAGAATGCCTGAGGTCTTCCACATCATAGCTGATACCTAACTGAGACAGCAAAAGTCTCAGCTGAGGCTTCAGTTCTTCAGTTTCTGCATTGTGCTGGGGAAGTGAAGAGAATGCATCTCTCAGCAAGGTTCCTATAAAAAGTGAAAACAATTTGGACATGCTAAGAATTGTTGCACACGGTAGAGTCTTGAGAGGCCAACATTCCCGAAACAAGTTGAAATTACTATAGAGTTCTAACTCCTGCCCTCTGAAGATGCCAGACACAGAGACTGGTGAAATGTTAGGAAGAAATACCTCCAGAACATGGCCAAACAGCCCGAAAAACCTACAACAGCCATGACTATAGATGCTTTGGGCATTTGATGCAAATTTGGGACCAGCCCTCCACTATTTTTCCTGAAGTCCTTGGCCATATGACCTGTATTGGTGGTCTCTTTAGGCCATGAACCTTGCTCCACTGCCATTACAGAAATGAGATCCAACGGTCAGGCCAGTTTGCTTCTGTGGACGGTCATGTCACTGAGTGACAGAATGCAAATCTTTACTGAAAAGTCTTGACTGGAGATTTAAAAGCAGGAATATATTTCAGAAGGCAAAATAAGTACAGGGTTGCAATGGAAGGGGCAAAGAACAAGGCAGGGCCCTTTCCATTGCATGGAAGAGAAGCTAAGAGAGATGGTACTCCTGGCTCCAGCATCAGGTCTTGGGGTACCCTTGAGCAAGATGCCATGACCAAAGTGCATCTGCTTCCTCATGACTTCCATCTCTGACTACCATTCTCTCACCCCCTTCCTCAGGAGCCTGTCAACACAAAATAATCTGGAGGGAGAGAGAAATGCCAATCACGGATGTGGTGTTCTCCATCCTGGCCATTGCTTGTTCCTAGAAAAAGCAAACCAGCCAGCGCTGATATTAATGGAGGAAGCGTAGCAGGTTGAGATGCTCCCATGGATTAGATGGCCCTCTGCTGGAACATAGCTCTTAGCAGAAGCCCAACAAAACTCACCTCTAATGCCAGTCCTTAGGACAACTGGATCTTTCTTATTTCAGTACATGCAACCAGACAGTATCTTCTGTTGTACTGCTGGGCAGCAGGTTAGTTAGGGAGTTCACAGTGGTGATGCACACAACTCAAATCTTCTTGGAGTTTGGATAAGATACTTTTTCAGACTGCAACGCCCCATGCCAACATGGCCCCTGACCATATCCTGGACGGTTTGGGGCCCTGTAGCCCCAAAAAGCTACATTTCCAAGCAGGGGTTCTCCATTACCATGTTGCTACTTCCTATCCACCCTCTTGCAACTCTGGCCTGCAACCACCCCCTAAGTCTTCCAAGTAGTACAGCCAGGCCTGCTTTTGTAGACACTTCTGTGGCATCAGAAAGTTTTTCAAGTTATATTTCAAAGCCCAAATATAATTACAACACATAGATTTATTGACACACTGAGAATTTTAATCACTGTGCAACAACTTGCTAAAGTTCAATAAAACTCATGAGGATTTGTAGAGTTATATGTAACCTAATTTATTAGTTCATTGCTTGGCAGTAAGGGGCCATCTGTGTTCCTGTTCTACACTTTCCTCTGTCTCTGCTTATAATGTTTTGCTTAATCATTTTGTCTGTTTAATCTATCCAGCTAAGATCTATACAGCAGATGAAGCTGGAGACTTTATTTAATATCTCTAAAACAAATGGTTCACGGATAACTTGATATTGAAAGTAAACAACAAAGAAGCAAATCATCCTGATTGGCTTTCTGTCTCCATAAAAGGCCATTTTCCCTTCAGAATTAATAGCTACACGTGGATTGAATAATCTACATATTCTCCCATGGCTACTGTCCTGAAATGACCTTGGTTTTCTTCCAAAGGTAGTGTGGATCTTTGCAGATGCTCAAGTTAGCACTAATGTGTGCACAGCCACGTTCTGCATGGCACCCACAATTTACAGAAGAGAAGGGGGCAGCATTCCCCCCCTTCAAAACTTCTGCATTTGAGGACTGGGAAAATGTTGCATTCTTATAACAGACACAGAACCTTGAGAGAGATGGAGAGAAACATCTGCAGCTATTGTTCAACAATGGCCATGTTGTACAGAGAGACCCTAAGACAGCATTCCTGAACCGGCTGAACTCCAGATGTGATGGACTCTCATCGTCTATGAGCACAACCACTAAGGGTTCCAAGAATTAAGAGTCCAAAGTTACAGGTTGACTAAGACTGTTGTTAAGACATGTAAGGACACTTATTTCTTACCATTGGTGGTGGATGTCCCAGAGCAAACAGGAAAGTGAATGTTGGGGGACAAGAATTCCATTTTGGGGAGGGTTCTGAATGTTTCCCCATCATTCCAGGGTGGAGCTCTGTCAATGCCCACTTCCATCCTGTGAGAAACAGGCAAGTATTGGAGTACCTAGAAGTATGAATGGATAGAGACTTATGAACTTATATTTTGCCTTTATTATTTGTATTCAGCATGTAAGCAGGATCAAAGGTCAAAGAGAAATATCGGTAAAGACACAGCACTGCATACAGGGACCCAGCTTTATTTAGCCTGTCCTTCCACCTGCAGAAACAGGAAGGAACAAAATGTCAGCAGGCAGCTTTGCTCCTCTTCCCTTTTAAACCAGTGCTTAACAGAATCAACACCTGTTCGAGGCTGAGGCAGCATTTGCAAATGCCAGTTCATGCCTGTGAAACGTCTGTTTTTATACTACCTAAATGGAGAAGGAGGAGGGAAGCCAAGAAGGAAATCCACAGGACCTCTGCTTAGAGACAGCAGAGATTCCTTTCAGGACAGCCTCCTAAAAAAATCAGGGCTGAGGGCAGGGGTCAGGAGGCACAGTGGTTTGGGGGCTGCAGCCACTCCATATTTCACCTCCTACACCCCCCACCTGGGGCTGCACCACTCACTTTTTTCAAAATTAGGCCACTTCTTGCTTTGGAAACTATAAGGTTTTCTGGGGCATTTGTGAAGTGCTGTGGATAGATGGGAATAGCCATTCAGTGGAGGCCTCTTGAGGTGTGGGGAATGTGGATGCTGCAAATCATGCTCCTTCCATGCCACATGTGGCTCGCAAATTCCCACACCTTGTTTAAAGGGCGGGAAAGTACCTGCAAAAAGAAAGCTCCGGGAACTTCCACAGAGCAAGTATAATCAATGCGCAGAGGTTCCACTTCTCAATCATACACAACCTCATGTTGACTTTCGGCAGTGCAATGAGCATAAGGGACAGGAGCTGCCCCACCCACACAAACTGAGGAAATGGGAAGCTGAGAAGCCAATGCTCAAGTACACCAGAGAGGACACTGCCAGATACTTGTATCTTTTTTTTGATAGCGCATCCATTTCCATTGGAAAGGAAGGAAGGTGGCCAAGTTTGTAACACTTCAAAACCTAAGGCACAAGCTTGCGTGGTTTAGAACCCAAGGTAAAGATAAATGTGCTCATCTACTTCAAGGCTTTTGCTTTTTCTATAACAAAACCAACTAATCCAACTGGTCTCTCAAAGGAGATCTTCCCATATGAACACATGAGCTGATTAGAGTAGTGAATTTTTTCCTCATGTCACTGTTCTTTTACTATTGATTTCCTACTCTAGAATGAATACTCCATTCTTTAAGTCCAGCCTCTTTCTGGTTGAACTGTCAGTGGAGAACAACTGGTTTCCAAGGGATGCAATTGGCACCCGAGAGTCCTCCTTTTCTGAGTGGGAGCTTGCCGAATTTGGGAAAAGGACTTAGGGTTCTTCTTGCCATACCATGGGTTGAACGTTTATTTTATATATTGCTGTTCTTGGGAACCACGGTTCCAGTTTCATGATGTGAAATGGAATTCCACAATGTGAAACAACCATTTTACCTTGAGGTAGTTGTGAATAGTCTTAAGTGAGTGGAGGTGACATATGAGCCATTGTGTGTAAATTGCCAGGTCTTCCTGGGTGATTAAATTGCCAGGATTTGTCTTTCCTGTCAGGAAGTTCTCCCGTGCACTTGACAGTCTCACAGCTCTTTGAACAGCATCATCATACTCCTCCATGATGTGAGCCACTTGTTTCTAAGAAAGAACAGTAGAGAAAGAGAAGAGGCATTGTTTTCTCAGAAAAAAAGAAAGAAGAGCTAAAGCACATTGTCAAAATGTCCACGGGTTTCGTTAAACGGTTGGCTCATATAAACAGGCAACGGAGTCTCTATAGGTTCTTGCAACTTTAATGATTTATTAACATTTAACACTGGTGTGTCAATAACCACTTCAGTCGGCATAAACGTATCCGGCTGAGGAAACGCCTTTTCAACAAGTCCATAAGGGTTAACATTATAACACAACTTCAAAAGGGGGGAGCGTTCCCTGTCGGTGGGTTTCCATAGTGGCCCAAAGCATTCCCTGTCGGTGGGTTTCCGTAGCGGGGCACTCCTCACCGCGCATATGGTCCCACAGCACGGGTGGCAGGCCCAATCCCCCTCGGATGGTGGGTGGCTGAAGCTCTGGTCGGGACGCACCACCTTCCTCCAACGACCGTGTCCACGAGGGAAGACCACTACTGTCCATTCTAATGTCTCTTGGAGTACTACCCCCTCAGACTTTGGAAGAGGGTCCGGCAGTAGTCCCCCAACCGCCAGATTAGGAAAGTCATTGATTAAGGACTTCACTTCGCGCGCTACTGTCTCCTCCTTCCTCTCTTTCTTCTTCCCCATTACTGCCCTATATTCCCGTGTAAAAGTTCCCTCTTCAACATTCTCCTCCCAGACCTCCACCCATTGCTCCTCCCCTTCCTTCATCCCCTCTTCTGACAGGCAGACCTCAGCTTTAACCCCTTTCGGTCTTCTGTCTTCCACATCCTCACCTTCCCATCCTGCTCCCTCATATATTTGACTTATCAAGAGGAGACGGCGCACTAACACCTGGGCTGTCCTCACACACATATAGAAAGAAAGGTGTCTTTCCTGCTCTTATAAGGGTTTTTCTCCCCAGCAAACAACTCTGCTTTATTATGCCTATCTCCAGAAGTAAATATATGAAGAAAGCCTTTGTTTACATTCAAAATATAATCCTCAAGAGACAAACACTTTCTTTTTAATTCTTTTTTCATACTTTCATCACCACGTGAGAGACATACAGCTTAGCACAATGTCTAATGAGGCCCTTAATTAACTAGAACATTAAGGCATTGAAGTTCAGCCTTTCTTTCCTGTTGAAAAGTCTTCAGTGGCAAGAGCTGAAATTCAGTTGTAAGTTGCAACTAGAGCAGGCCCATTAAACCAGTGGGGATTTAGTGAATCTTACTCTAATTGTGACTTCCTTCTAATCCTTTGTTGACTGTTCATCTGATGTTTAAATATCTTTTCTTCTTGAAGACTGAAACAAAAGGTAATAGTACAGTCTGCAACATTTTGAGCACCAACAACTAAAATAAGGTTGGTTTCTAAACTGTACTTTTCTGCAGACTTACCAATTTAATTTTTCTGAGTATGTATGTATATTTGATGATCATGTATTTACCTTCTTGATTTTAATGGGCTGTATGTACTACCTGCAAAAGCATATGGCTAATGAAAATAAAGAATCATTCCTCTTCAGGTTATATTTAAGCATGAAAAGATTAACTTCCATTTTACAACCAGAAAGCTCTACTTTATATCCAAATTTATATTACTGTTTTGCTCTTGCATTTCAAGGGGATCAAATCAAGTTCACAGCTGAGCTCTGCTTAGCTAGAAGGAAGGCACATGCACTTATATTCAGCATTACTGCAGCTCTGAGATTTCCATACCTGGTAGAGCGAATAGAACTGTTCAACAACACTGCTGTGCTGACAAAACCTTTTCCATCTGAGCATGTGCAAGTATTTGCTCTGCACCAATTGTGTAATTCTGTCTGTAAAAAACTTGATCAAAAGCAACAGATCATAAATGTTTAACACAGTAGTATTGCTTCTACAACAGTATGCAAAGTAGTGGTAAGTGCACTATGGGAAAAGATTACTGGGAAACCTAAATTTTAGGATTAATGGCTGGAAATTATTACAATTTTATGCCAACATAACATAACTAGGATAATCTTGGTGGCAAATTGTGGCAAGCTCCCATGTCAGTCAATGGCTACACTGTCTTCTTAACGTGCAGCAACTCACCACTGAGATTTATGCTGATTGTGTTACCCTTGGGGATGTAACTAATAGGATTTGGGCCATTTCCCTCCTAGTTAACTTTAAAAAAAAGGATTCTTGCCAGAATCCTGGGATTTATAGATCTACATGAGCTCAGTGAGTTTTTAGATTTCTATTTCTAGAATGTTTCTCTACCACTGATAGTAGAGTGCTTTTGAAATCAATGGGCATTCACAGATACTGATGTGACGGAGATCAGCTGTTCAAAGATGAGTTTAACATTTCCTTGGATTAGCATAAGGCCTAAGTCTCTTATATTATCCCCAGCAACTCTTTAGAACTAGACCTGTGTTTCACTGCTCTAATATAGAGTTCCTGTTGGCAAACGGCACATTGCAAATGTAATGGTTTTGTACAATGTGAAGAATAGCAAGAGAATTAGTGATTGTTATGTACTCTCCACTTTTCTAAGCCATGAGAAGCCAAGCAGATACCGGGTTTAGTTGCCAGACGGAGCAAGTCTGGCAGTTTATGGTTAGTTTAGAAATATATAAGAAGAGCATAAACAAATGAGGGCAAAACAACTGTAGCAAAATGCAAAAAGGTGACGTCATTCCTGCCTGTCCATCACAGCAGCTAAGGGGAGGAGGCAAGGATAGAGCAGGAGGGGCGGCGCTAGAGAGTGACAGTTAGGGAGTTGAAGGGACAGTTAGACAGTTAGGCGGTGAGAGTTAGAGAGTGTTAGAGACAGTTGAAGATGTGGAATGAGATTTAGGGTTAGGAGAACGAAGGAGAGGGTTAGTGAATAGATCTAAGGGGGTTAGGAGAGGAAATTGAGAATTTCAAAGCACATTGAACAAGCAGGAATGAATGTACAGTGGTGCCTCGCTTAACGAGCGCACCGTTTAACGACGAATCCGCAGAGACATGTTTTTTGCGATCGATAATGCGATCACATTGCGATGCTCTGAATAGGGAAAACATCGCATTGCGATGATCGGTAAGCGTTTCGCTTACCGATCTTCGCATTGCGATGTTTTGGAACAGCTGACCGGCGGTTCCAAAATGGCCACCAGAAGAAGAAAATGGCCACCCGCAGCGTTTTCGCGCCGATTCCTCGCTTACCAAGGTGGCGAAAATGGTGGCCGGATTGAGGATTTCCGCTTAGCGGTGACTTTTGTCCCCATAGGAACGCACTAAAAGGAGTTTAATGTGTTCCTATGGGTTTTCCCCCCCGCATAGTGACGTTTCCGGATAGCGACGTTTTTCCTGGAACGGATTAACATCGCTATGCAGGGCACCACTGTATAAACACTACCTGAGAGATATTGATTGAAAGCATACAGCAGTTCAGAATAAAAGTGATTGACTATATGATCCAATATGCATTAACACCTGAACCAATTCTATTGTGATTTTCATTTTGATTTGTTCAATAATAAAAGAATACGTAATTAAAACCCCTGCTTCCTATGTTATATGACCCTTTGGATTGGCAGCACCTGTGTGGGACATAAATTGGTATTAGGAGAATACCTGGTGGCAGCGAAAAGGACGTGTGTTCCTTTGTGAGGCCCAAAGAAATAGGGGCAACAAAGGGTTGATCGTCACAACAACCACTGGACCTACATCAAATTCCCAAAGTGCAGCAATTCACAAACATAAGGAGCATTTGGAAAATCTCACTTTTTTGTTTTTAAAGATCTAAATAACCCAGGTTTCCTTCTCACATTCATGCACACACGAGCTTATACTCCTTTGCTTCTGCTCCTCCCCCCCCCATATGGACTACCTCCCAATAATTCCTTTCCCCTCATTTGTACTTTCTCCCTTTTCCACTCCCCATATATATTCTACTTTTCACAGTGGTAAACACATTTCTTCTCCTCCTCTCACATGCATTTCTAACTGATCAAACTCCCAACCTCTGGCTCCGCTACCCACCTGACTGAGTGATCTAGACAGATCTAGGAATTATAGTCCAGATCAAGTAACTATTCCAAGTTTATCCACAGACACGGCTGTCAACATTCAACCTCATTTGGAGTGTTAGAAGATAGAATGGCAGGACATGAACACTGAAAAAAGGCAAATGAGTTTTCAAATCACAAAGGAAAGTAACATTACCTGGTGTAGCAATAAAGGCAAGGTTTCAGATGTATATTCTCTTTTTAGACAGCTCTCTAACTCCCTCTGTATGACATCAGCTTGAATTACAAGAGGCTTTGCCTCTGCAACCTGTTAAAAAAAGGATATTAAGGCAAAATTATGTTGCTGGGAAGTTAAATTCTACATACGTTCACAAATTTTTTGATGCAGCGCTTTAACCTAAAGCGCTGCATCAAAAAAATTGTCTAAGTCCCTTTCACTAAAAAGCTCTGAGCTTTTCTTCTGCAGTCAGGACCAATAGAAGAAGGAAGGAAAATGCCATTTTCATCTCAGTTCGTAAAAAATGTTTAAGGTAACTGACACATTTGAAGCTAGTCAATACATTTTAGGAAGCCTCTCCTTCATATACTACATCTTTTCAGTGACTCTTAAAAAAAGAGGCCTATCTTAAAATAATTTGCTCAGATGAAAATCTGAGTTTAGCAGAACTTCACTTCCTAGGAAGTGTGAGGTATAGTCGTGCCCCGCTTTACGATTGTCCCACATTACGACGAATCTGCTTTATGATGATCTTTTTGCGATCGCAATTGCGATCACAAAACGATGGTCTAAATGAGGGAAATTCGCTTACCGATGATCAGTTCCCTGCTTCGGGAACCGATTTTGGCTTTATGACAATCAAAAACAGCTGATCGTCGGGTTTTCAAAATGGCCGCCGGGTGCTTAAAATGGATCCCCGCTGTGCTTAGGGACGGATTCCTCGCTATACAGGCAGTGAAAATGGCTTCCGTATGGAGGATCTTCGCTGGACAGTGAGTTTTTACCCCATTGGAGCGCATTGCACAGTTTTCAATGCATTTCAATGGGGTTTTTAATTTCGCTTTATGTTTTCGCTTAAGGGCGATTTTCCTGGAATGGATTATTGTCGTTAAGTGAGGCACCACTGTATCGGATGGTTGTCTATGAGCAAGGGTGGATTTTATTTCCCTGTCTGTTCAGCCTATACACAGAATGCATCACACAGAAAGCTGGTCTAGATTCAGATGAAGAAGTGAACATTGGTGGAAGAAGCATCTAAGATACACAGATGATACCATCTTACTGGCAGAAAGCAGCAATGACTTGAAACAACTTTGGATGATAGTGAAAGAAGAAACTGCCAAAGCAGAACTGCAGTTGAGCATTAAGAAGACAAAAATTATGACTACAGGAGAACTACACAACTTTAAGGTGAACAATTTAAAAAACTGAAATTGTTAAATATTTTGTGTACCTTGGTTCAATCATCATTCCAAGTGGAAACTGCACCATTGAACATGTTTACGAGTAATCTGGTGAGGAAGGCCAGATTACTCATAAATATGTTTGAACTTGCTTATGGGTTCAAATGTAGGTTGCAGAGAAAATATGAAATGTCACAGAAATCCTCCTCCTACATCATTTACAAGTGTGAAAACTGGATGGTTCAGAAGACTGACAGGAAAAAAATGATACATTTGAAACATGGTGCTGATGCAGAGCTTTATGGATACCCTAAATCTCTAGAAAGATGAACAAGTTAGTCCTTGAGCAAATCAAGCCTGAACTATCTCTGGAAACAGAAATGACAAAACTGAGGCTGTCATACTTTGGGCACCACATGAGAAGGCAAGATTCTTTGGAATAGACAAAAACGCTGGAGGCAGTAGGAAAAGAGGAAGACCAAATATTACGTAGATAGACTCTCTAAAACAGTGGTCCCCAACCTTTTCCCAACCATGGACCGGTTGGGGGGGGCGTGGCATGCTCACGTGGGGGGCATGGCATGCTTGCTGGAGTCTGGCACACCCGCAGAGGGGAGGATGTGCAGCATGCTCACGTGAATGTGCGTGGTGGCACTCGGGGTGGCTGTTTGCACACATGCTTGCAGCACATTTGCAGGGGGCAGAGTGCGCTTGCATGCATGTGTGTGGCAGCAGTCACAGGGGGTGGAGCACACTCTCACGCATGCGTGCAGCAGCACTGGGGGGCAGGAGATCTGTGTCTGCGGCCTGCAGCCGGGTCATGGACTGGGGGTTGGGGATCCCTGCTCTAAAGAAAGCCACAGTTGTAAGTTTGCAAGGGCTGTTGAAGACAGGAGATATTTTAGAGATCATTCATTCATGGGGTCACCGTAAGTCGGAAGTGACTTGATGGCACCTAACAACAACAATGGGGGATTTGCACACTTATGCTTTCGACACTTACCTGTAAACATTTATTGAGTGCCAACTCCCTTTCTCTTCTGAAGTACTCAACATCTTTTGGAAAGGGAACAGAGCTATGAAAATTTACCAGAACTGATTTAAACAAATATAGAATTAATAGCATGTTTTTTAAACAATGTGAAGCACCATTATCAATCTCAATGTGTTATTTTAAGTAACAGAAAGTTTTTTTTAAAGTATCGTAACAAATAATGCAATGAGCTTCTTTTAAAACACTGTAATGAGAATAACAAGTTATTTTTCAACCACCATAAAGTGCAACAAAAACAAATCATTTCTGAAAAAGTTCATTAGAAAAAGAAGAAAAAAACCCAAGAAGAAATGAGTAGAACTAGATAAAATAGATAAAAATATCCAGAAGCAGGCAATGATTCTTAAAAGCTTGTGCCAAATAAAATCATGTTAAGTCTTTAAGATGTCACAAGGCTTCTTGTTGTTTTTTGCTGCAACAGACTAACATGACAGCCCGCTCCCCACATTTATAATTTTTGAATAGAAAAATGGGCAACGTTCTGCAGTATGCAGTTAATGGCTGGGCATGAAAAGACTGAAGGAGCTACCCTAATATAATATATTGAAATCGGAGACATCAAAAACACTATATAGAACATTTGGTGTACGTGAAATACCTGCTTGGCATTCTAACACTGCAGACTTTGTTCTTGGGATGAACTGTAATAAAACAGTTGTATGTGTAGAAGGAAGCAGCATTGGAGTACAGCCATTCATTTGCACTAAGGTCAGATTCTTCCTAATGGGAAATGATGGTATTTACCAGTACACTGTTTCTTGTAGTCCCCGATTTCCCTCTATTTCTGTCTTCAATTCAATCAGCTGTGCAGCTAATTCTTTTTCCACCTGCTGGATCCTCTCAGTTGAAGAGATCTTGTAAATTTCATTCATTTCCTCTTGGGTCATTTTAAAAAAAAAGAAAATAGAGGTAAAATAGAGGCTCGTGCATAGCTGTGACTACCTCTGCTGCTATCCACCTTCCTCTTGAAGTAAGGACATGAGATCTGGGACATTCTATAGAGCAGGTGAGAATGTTCTGCTGTTGCTGTTTAGGTGACTGGCCTGGCTGTCAGGAGTGAAGGCCCCCTCTTGGTTGAACCTCACCCACTGGTGCTTTATCTATAGGAAAAATATTTTGGCTGTGCCTGGCATGGGTGGCAGCATCCCAAAATGATCTGAAACTAAAGGGGGGGATGGAATCCTTTTAGAAAAGAGCCACTTTAAAGGGATAAAACAGCAATTCCTGCAGCATGTGGTGAACAGGAGGTTACAGAGGGCTTTACATGAGGATATTTTTTTTGTTCTGGCTGGTATAATGTGGGCCAGACGTAGGTTGCATTAAATGCCTATGAAAAGTGGCAGGTCAGTTGAAGGAAGCAATGTAGATTTCAGTGACAAGGGCGTGGAGGGCAAAATATAGATTAAGAGGAGCAAGCTAGATTAGTGGGCAGGATGTACTGCAGGTGTATTTTTGTTGTGCCATGTGACATGATAAGGCGTGATGGCATTTGGGCCTGCAGATGTTGCTGTTGAAGGTCAAGTTGGATGTCAATAAAATCGTCTTCTTCCACAATCTAAGTAAGGAAATAGAGTACAGGATATTTTGTTTTCCCCAGTTGTGTGTACTTTGCTTTTCAGTTCAGCAGACCTCAGGAGTTGGGGGAAAGGAGTTGATACAGTTTATAATTAGCCTTAAGAGCTGGCTGGATAGCTCAGTGAGTTAAGTATCTGCCTATGGAGGCAGAGATTGGGAGTTCAATTCCCCACTGTGCCTCCTGGAAGAAGAGTCAGTCTGTGTGGCACAGTCCTCAGGTACCACAAGAAGGAGGAAATGGTAATCCACTTATGTGTGTATTCTCTACCTAGAAATTCTGAAAAGGGCTGCCATAAGTCAGAAGTGATTTGACAGTAAGTAGTAGTAGTAGTAGTAGTAGTAGTAGTTGTTGTTGTTCAAAAACACCAGACACAGCCAATCAAAATTATAAAAACATTGAATATAACAGATACAAGTTTTAACCAAAAACCTAAGTATCTGTTAAATATCTGCACAGTATGTATGCTGTTCCTAATATTGCTATTTTTGTAACTCTGATGATGTTATTTCTGAAATCTGCAACTGCTTATAATACTGTGAGATATTTCTTGACATTGTTCCCAAAGCCCCAATGACAACGGGGACCACTGAAGTGTGTTTCATCCACACAGAGTAGTCTTAATCGACTAGATAGGTGGGATATAAATAAAATAAATAATAATAATAATAATAATCCACAAGCGAGATGTTTCGATTGCCAGATCTCTATACTTTGTTAGTTTTTTCTTTATTTTCAACTCTGGCATCCCCTAGAATTGCGATGTCAATGATCCAGACATTTCTTTGTTCAATTGCTATTATGTCTGGTATGTTACATTCAAAGTGTTTGTCCGTTTGGATTCGATAATCCCACAAGATCTTGACTTCCTCATTTTCTGACACCTGATGTTCCCGTGGGTCTTTGGAGGCTGGTAAGTTATATTTTTTACATAATGACCGGTTCACTAATTTTGACACTCTATCATGTCCAATTTTGTAATCTGTGCAATCTTTGGACATTCACAGATGAATTGTGACAGTTTCATCTTTTTCTTGGCAGAGTCAACATTTGCTGTTAGCACTAATTCCTTGGATCTTAGCTTTCATCACATTGATTTGGAGTGCTTGTTCTTGCACAGCAAAAATCAAGCTTTCAGTTTCTTTCTTAATAGTCCCCAGTTTTAGCCATGCCTGTGCTAAATTATGATCGCACTTTCCATCAGGTAGTGTAGTGTAGTGTAGTGTAGTGTAGTGTAGTGTAGTGTAGTGTAGTGTAGTGTAGTGTAGTGTAGTGTAGTGTAGTGTAGTGTAGTGTAGTGTAGTGTAGTGTAGTGTAGTGTAGTGTAGTGTAGTGTAGTGTAGTGTAGTGTAGTGTAGTGTAGTGTAGTGTAGTGTAGTGTAGTGTAGTGTAGTGTAGTTGAATTTGAGTTTGACACCCCTGGTGTAGTGTAGTGTAGTGTAGTGTAGTGATTCTTCCTCTTCCTCTGCTTCTTATTGTTATTATTATTTCTTCTTTCTAAACTTCCTGTTCAGCTTAATATTGTTTTGGTGCATCTCGTGTTGGACAAAATGGGGCAAGTTAGAAATTCTGTCGGTGTAGCTCATGGCATGCAACTAAAGAATAACCCACCTGAGCTGATGGATTTGGTCTCTGATGCAGCGATAAGATTGCCTGGTCTTTTAATCTTGGGAAGGAGGGATTTCAGAATCCCTGGTGAAATGACCAGATCTAGGATGGTCCAGGATTTCATGAAAACAACCATCGTTTCGTTTAGTCGTGTCCGACTCATGTGGGAAATTTCCAATTCACCATTGGCTCAATGATTATGGGTAGAAGTACTTGACCTTTATTTTTCTTGGTGGGGTTAGAATACAGTGGTTCGAAGGTAGAGGTTCTTGCCATCATTTGTTTGTCAGAGTACAATTACCTAGTAGTTGCAAAAGTTACTTTATGGAATTCAACTCTTGGGAACCCTACCAGCATGGGCATTGGTGATACTGGCTGGGGGATTTTGAGTTGTGGTCCATAATAACTTTTCCAAGCAGTAGGATAACTCAGAAACCTACCAATTTTATCAAGTAGGACTTCGCTGCCCTATTTGTTAAGTTTAGCTAATATGAGATCAGCACACACAAAGAAGAGAAGGAGAATGTATGACTGAGTACCCCTTTTTAGAGTGTATTCAATGATCTTCCTTTGTATCTCAAAAACTCTGGCACTGTCAGTTATATTGACAGTAGCATGCAAAGCATTCATCTGCATCAGAAGTGGGAAGCACAGCTTTGCAATGGTTCTACCTCTGTGTGGGTGAGTCAGCTGCAAAAGGTGGTACCTTGGGCACAGTATCAATGAGTTCAGCCCTGTGGATTCCTAGGTATGGGATTCTTAAAGATTCCTTCTGATCTCCCATGAGTTTTAACATCTTATGTGAACATGCTGAATGGGATCATTTGGAATATTGAAGTAATTTTAATTTATATGGTACGTATCATTATATCACTGCACCTGCTTGCAATATAAAAGAAATACAGCTGCATGTCATACAAATAAAAATACATTCCAGGTATACCATTAGTGTTCTTCATCCAGATGGTTGAGGTGCAGCCATTTCTGGATAGAAACACCCTTCCCTTAACAAGACAGCTAAACAGCTTGGGAATACTGTACTCTTCTAACCATCATTGTAATTTGAGCTATAAGTAGTCTCTATGCTGAATATTCATTCTTATGCTGCATGAGAGGTGGCTTGAATTTGAGGTCATAAAAGGCAAATCTGAAGGTGTTATGAAAGGGAAGAAGCATCCTAGATGTCAAGGTGTGGTGGAACCAAATGTTTTACCTGTTTGTGCACATATGGTTGTTGTGTTTACATTGATTTCTTGTGGCCTGTGGGCAGGCATTCTGTGTACTCCACTGAGGGTGCCTTCCAATTTTTTTAGCCATCATCAATTTCTTTTGGGAAAAGAGTGTTTTGTGATGACTGGCTGCATCTACTATGCCAGCCTCCACCCCCAAGGACAGCTCTGAAATGATCCAATTATGGCCACTAGGTTCCAAAAATTGCAGGGCCCAGTTCAGAATTATGCACACTCACCCTATTCAGTCACACTGAATGGAATGAATACCCATCACTTTCATCATTGGCTTTATGCTAAGCATTCATTTGCACTCTTAGGCGATGACTCCACTGTGCAGCACTTTCTTTCTATTAAAATCTGTAGCTTTTACACTGAGATCAAACTTCCACATTCTTTGGGCACTACGGTTGCTACCAAGAAATCAAGTTATGTGGGCCTTGATTTCATTATAAGAAACTCCTGCCATATATGAGGAGCATTTTTCAGTTGTGACCTGGAATACCTTGCAAAGTATTTTCCTTGCATGCTAAAAAACTACTCAAGCTACATTATAGCTGATTGTGGCTTACCAGAAATTTACATTTAATTTTACAAACGGCAGAGCTCAAAAGCGAGAGTAGAATTAATTTTAAGTACAATTGTTAATGCAGTCATTAAATTGCAGTAACTTTTAATCTCTAATAAAGGACAATGAAAAGCTATTTTGAGAAGTGATTTTTTTCCTGTCTTCACTGTTAATTAAACATGCAAGCTCTTATTTGAAGCATCCTGTTTACTACATAAATCCATCCTACATTACTTCCTAGGTCTGGACCTCAATTATTCTCTGCAATCATGGCTGATCAGTTTTATTCCCGCCTTTAAAGGCCACAAGCATGACTGAACAAGTTGAATTAGAAATGAGATTATGATCAGTGTTGTTAATGTAGTGTATAAAATTTCAGAGGAGACACAGTTAATGACATTAATCCTGTCTATCTACTTTAAATATGCTAGTGAAATGCCTCTCATTATGGAAGGAAAGGGAAAGAAAGTACGAGGGTAAACAAAATGTTCTATGCTGTACTAGGCTTAGGAAATCCTTATCTATCCTCATTAAACTGTCAAGAAACTTTTAAAGGCTGTCACACATCTTTTATCAACCAATTTTTTCTCCCCTTACCTCCACAGCGATGAAAACTGGCGTAGTTTAGATTTAGTTATTCCTTCACTTGGCAAAGCTTCGCGGGGAAAGTAAAATTTTCTTCAAACCTCTTGCTTGGGCTTCTGTTTCAGCACAAAATTAATAAGAAAGAAAACAGAGCTAACATATTTCTAGCAAGCTGCAGAATTATACCATAAATAAAACACTGATTTGCTGTGAATTAATTAAAATGTTTTGCCTTGTCTTAGATTACACCATTTAAGAGGAATACAATACCTGGCAAGAAGAACAAGGTCATTGCCTCCAAAAGTTGGAAAGTAAACAGCCTCCAGCAGAGAAAAGAGAAGCCTTGTTTTGTTATTGGAAACTGTAGCAGCAAATCATTTCTCCCACAGGTTTCTATAGCAAATGCAATCAAAGGCCAAAGTAGCAATGGTAGCATTTGTCACAGTGCTTGGGCAAGCTTAACTGTAACCCTAACAACCTCACTAGGTACACCCATGCAGACACTTTCTTTCTTCATGTCTCAAGTGTTGCAGAATTTAAAATTATGGATGTATATGAAATACAGTATAGGTAAAATTAAAATGTTAAGATAGTTTGTGGCCAGAAGCAGGCCACTTTAATAGCATTGTCTTTACCACTGACTAGATCTTCTTTTGGACACACAGTGAGCCTGTAAGTACTGCTTTGACTGAATTTCTCCAGTCACAGAAAATTTGTACTCTAGCCCCATTTTAAAAAAATATAATTCTAACTGGTGGCTAACCAACGCCTCCATTTCAGGCTGCAAAACGGGGCCCTTCCACAGGAGAGGAAAGTCAGGCAATCCAGCGGATGATACGGGAAGACCACGTCCATGGGATAGTTATTGGTAAGGCACCAAAAGTACAGTACAGTACCTGTGGAGAGCTCGGATAGAAAATTGAAACACTCAATTGAAAACACCTTTAAATCACTGACTTTAATGCAAAAGTTGGAGAAGTTACTTTTTTTTTGGATGCCAGCTCTCAGATTTCTCAGCCACATGGTAATATCAAATATTTCCTTATTGCCTCTTTCCCTGCACTGGCCCACACCATATAGCCTAGGTATTTCCTGAGGTCCCCCAACTAATCTATAAGGGATTGAAGTAAGAAGGAGGGGCAGGGAGAAATCCTTATCCTTGTATTCCAATGCACTAGGTAACATTGTGTGTGTATATACACACATTTAAACTGTATGTTTGATTTTGGCTGTCATTTAACAAATTTACAGTTGCAAAATGCCCAGAGAGTGATATGCACTGTGGGGCATACACTGCTTGCCCCACAGTGCATATCACTCTCTGGGCATTTTACAACTGTAAATTCAATCTAATGCAACCCAAAATTAAGCATACAATTTAAAGCAAACAAATAATTAGTTCCTTGCTACTAGCAAATAATAATATCCATGTGCCACCAAGTCAATGCTGACATATGGTGATCCTTTTCAGGGTTTTCTAGGTAGGGTGAGTCTTCAAAAGTGGTTTACCATTCCCTTCTAGAAGTATCCCTGGGACTGTGCAGCTTTCCCAAGGCTGTACAAGTTGGCTCTTCTCCCTGCCACAAGCAGACCTGACTCTAAATAACATAAACATTTGAACATCTTAAAACCAAAGTCAATGTTAGTAAAACCCACTTTTAAAAGTTTTGTTTCCAGCCATTTCTTAAAGAGCTAGAGGGAAGAACTGTGATACTCTTATTGGAAGTTTATTCCAAAGAGATAGGGCCACCACTATGCTCACTCTTTTAGCCCCCTTCGGTGTCACTTCTCTTAACATGGACTGTGAAGAGTGGGACAGGTAGCTGTCTTATAGGAAAGACATTCTGACAAGTATCAAGGGCCCTAATTAATACACTCAGCAATTCCTGCACTTCTTACTTTGCTTCAGTGTAGCATCAGCTACCCATTTTAACCAGAAATAAAATTCTACACAAAGACCAAGGTATATAGAAAAGCACATTTTCTGATTTTTCACATTTCCATTATCGTTTAGTGATAAATACATCATTCCTTTTTAAACTAAAGATTCAGAATATTAAAACCCACCCCTCACTCTGAATTTAAACACAAAACCTCTTGCACTGAAAGGAAACATCAAAGGCTCAAGACCAAAAACTAATCAACAATTAACCCCTGTTATAATAATCCTGAATATGTTTAAACCAAGTCTGAAAATTTGAGCAAGACATTTTCTGTCCCTAACTTAATTACTGTACAGTATCTCTTTTGCTCAAAGAGCATATTTAACAAATGAGAATTTATTAGACTGTATAGAAGAAACTTGTATAACATGGAATGATAGGAATAATATTTATATTGACTGAAATCTAGTCTAACTTTAGTGGTGATTTTAAATCTTTAAAATGTTCCTGTATTGAAATGAAGGCTACAAATCTTTCAAATAAAAATTTAAATAAGCATCACGAGATTTAATGATAATGCCATATAAAAGCAATTATTACAGAAAAAAAAGACAAAGATGCATAAACAAATTGGTTCTTTAATTTAAAATGATGTACACATGTCATTTAAAATATCATAATTACACTTAAGTCAGCATAGAAACAAACAATTTATCAGTCCCAAACTAATGTCTTAGAATTAATGGATGCAAGCAGTACTGGATCCAGGCCAAATTTATAAAATCAATTCCTGATGGCGAGTGGTCTACAAAATCAGCTTTGAAAACTATGATTCCCACACAATATCATCTTTCTTCAGTACTGACTGAAGCTTCTGAGCACTTTTTAACAATTCAAGGGAATTTTTGCTCCTACTCATGGAACAGATACTATGGACGCTGCTTTTTGGAGAAATTGTCGGTTCTTTAATTCCTTTTAATTCTTCCGACCTTGATGTAGTTTTAGCTACTTTTCTCTTCAGTTTTTGAGCCTTTTGCGTCAATTTATAAACCTAAAAACAAACAAACTAAGCATAATAATTCTGAAACAAAAGAAATGCGAGTTTTGGGACAAAGGCCTTGGTAAAGCATTATATATCCAATTTGCCAACCAGGATTGTTGTATACACATTTAGTAATGTCAAGTGTTATGCATTTAATAACTTTACAGATACATTTGGTTTTGAAACAGAAAGGCCAAGGGAAAAAACATTCTCAGTTGCTTTTCAACTATTTTGTAATTTGTTTATGATTCTATGTGAAACCAAAGAAGAGAACGAGAATGAAGAAAGTATGTTCCTTATAGTACTGACAGATGGTATTTTGAAAACAAGTTAAACTCAAATAATAAATGAAGCATTTATAAAACATTTATTTTTAAATTGTCATTCCACACTGGGGTGTCACTGCAATTACACAGCATAGTTCATGCCAAAAATTGAGTATGTCAATGAAACCTGTCATCTGATGTCAGTATTTATTAGTATTTCTCAACATGTATTTTATCTAACTGTAGACTGTATATAATCCTAAAATCTCTACATTGAAATTATCTGCACACTCCTTTGAACATCTCGATCAAATCTCAGAAAACTCCTCTGTTGGCTTCAGAACTGCAAAATGATCCTGGTCATGGCACCCACCCACCCTTCCTTCCTTCCTTCATTTTCTAAGGCATTATCTTGCTTCATTAGCACAGGTATTCTTCATTAACAGAAAATGAAGAGTAATAAGGTGGAAGGAACACAGGTTGCAATACAAAGCAGATCTCTGCCCACTGATTGAAGCATTTATTGTTAATTCTTAAGCAGACAAAAATGACATTGAGATGACAAAGTACATCTACTTTCAATTAAGCAGAGTCACACATTTTAGGGCCTTTGAAAAAAGTGGAATATACTAAAGTTTCTTCCTCACAGCATGTAAAATATTCTTAGACATTAAGCAGAAGTACAGTCACTCTTCCAAGTGATAAAATTAGCTAACACAAATCTGTGTCATGATGAAAAGACCTCAGAGTCTAACATTAATGAGAATTAAACTAGCCATTACATAGACAATGTGTGACCACATTCATTGTAGTTCATCCTTTATAATGAAAAGTGGCCATAATGGTTGGCACAAAGCAAAGAAACTGTGGGGAGAAACCATGAGAGACATGCTGGGTCAGATAAAAGACATATCTGTTTCAGCATTCTCTTCACACAGTGGATGACTAGCTGTCCATGGGAAGCCGACACAAGCAGGACATAAGTGCACGAGAGCCCAAAGTGCATCAGGGCGAAACAACTAGTATACAGAGGTGCAGTTGCTCAGGTATAAAAGGAAATATCTATCCATCACCAGTCACTGAAAGCCCAGTCCTCCTTGAATGTATCAGAACCCTTTTTAAAAAGTGATCCAAGTTGGTGGCTGTCACTACAACTTCTGGTAGCAAACTGTACACAGTGGACCCTCGTCTTATGCAGGACTCCACCTGCAGACTTTTCAAGTTGCAGACTTCTCCGGCCGCAAAATTTACTTCGACTTGCGGCCAGAGAATTGACCTACGGACCAGAAGAGGGAGGCAGGGAAAGTGCCAAATTCAAATTTGGCGCTTTCCCCGCTTCCCTTTCCGGTTCGTAGGCCACTGATCGTGCCTCCAGATGCCTTCCAGTGCTTCTCTGCTGCCAAGGGAGGCTTCTCGGAGGTCCCCCCGCCGCAGATTGTGCTTTGGAGGCATGATTGGTGACAGTGGTGACAGGACTTTCGAGAGGCCTCTGGCAGCAGCGGAGAAGCCCTGGAAGGCCCCCGGAGGGCCCCCTCGCTGCTGATTGTGCCTACGGAGCTTCTCTGGAGGCATGATCGGCAGCCAGGGGGACCTCTGAAGGCATTCCAGGGCTTCTCCGCCGCCATGGGAGGCCTCTCAGAGGTTGCTGCCGCTGCCGCCTTTCCCAGGGCACACCACGCCTACCAAGGGAGAGCTTTCCCCGCTAGGCCTGGTCTACTCCCCGGGAAAGCCTAATAGACCGGGCCTACCAAGGGAAGCCCTCCCCTGGTAGGCCCGGCCTACCAGGCTTTCTCAGGCAGTAGACCGGGCCTACCAAGGCAAGCCCTCCCTTAGTAGGGCCGGTCCACCCTGGGAAAGCCTGTTTCAGCGGGGGCGAGGAACCTCCGAGAGGCCTCCGGCAGGGACAGGGAAGCCCTCGTAGGCCTCGGGCAGCAGCGATGGCAGCAGCAGAGGATCTCTGGAAGGCTTCGGACTGGTAAGGTATATTTATTTTCATTTTTGGGAGGGTGGTGGTATTTTTTTCTTCGGCCAGTTACAGATTAATGGGTTTTCAATGCATTCCTATGGGAAATGGACCCTCGACCTACAGCCACCTTTCCAATATGGATTAATTCCATAAGTTGAGGGTCCACTGTAGTTTTAATACTGTTTTGTAATCTACTTATGAAGTACTTCCTTTAAGCAGTCCTGGATCTTCCACCATTCAGCTTCTTTAGATGAATGAGGAAGGGATGCTTAACCCTCTTCCATCTGATGTTAGGGGGATAAAATTTGGAGATTCCTCTTCTCCCTTCTTTTATGCATATGCATATATCTATGTAGAAAGCTGTTATTTGCATTTAAGTCTGAGTTAGCAAATGACAAATGGGAAAACAAAATGCAGTTTTAAATCGGGCCTTCTCAGCGGTGCCTCCTCGCCTCTGGAACAAACTTCCTCCGGAGATTCGTGCGGCCCCTATGCTGGGTATCTTTAAAAGCCAACTGAAAACATGGATGTTTATTCAGGCCTTCCCTCCAGTCAAAACTTGACTCTTTCTTCTTATTTCTCCTTTACTTACTTTTATTTTATTTTCCTGGTTTTCATATTTTCATTTGTAGATTATGTAATTGTATGTAATCATATGTTTTTACTAACTGATTGTATTATTTTGGAAGCTGCTCAGAGTGGTTGCATAGACCAGATGGGTGGGATACAAATCAAATAAAAAAAATAAAAAAATATTTGTTGGGATTTTTTTTGGGGGGGGGGAGGCTGGACCAAATATTTACCTGTTCATATACAGACCCATGCACCTACTACTCTATCAAGGAAACTGTTTATACATCTCTTGAACAACATAAGTCAGTTTATTCTTCATATTGAATTCAAATGCAATCATATCTATCCAACAATCTAATTTTGATTTCTTTCTGCAGGATTCATGACCTCCAAATATTGACTTTCTAAAAACACAAGTTTTACAAGTCCTATCCTATCCTATCCTATCCTATATT